ATTTAATTATATTTTTATATAGTTTACTCTAGTAAAATTTTCTATATAATAAAATTTTTATTTAAGTTTTTCTGAAGTGTCCTGCTAACAGATTATTATAATATAAATAAATAAATATTTAATATAATATTTTAAAAAATAGAATATAAAAACAATCCTTAAAATATATATAGTTAGTAATTTTAATAATTTAATATTTTTAGTTTAATTATTCTTATTAAATAATAATTTTTTATTATTGAGTTTTTGGATTTTCGTTCTATAAATATAAGATTATTTTTTAAAATTTAGAGTTATATTTATCTGAGTATAGAATTTCTATAATATATATATATATTACTATAGATTAGAAAATAAATCTTTTTTAAAATAAGTTTTTTTAAGTAGTCTAGTTAGCTGTCTCTATATTAGTTTAATTATTAAGATTTTTTAAATTTAATATTATATAGATATTAAATCTAAAGTAATCCTATATATCTTAAGATTTAAATTAGAATTTTATATTTATTAAATCTTTAATTATCAAGGATAATATATCTATAAAATATTTATAAATTAGAGTCAAGAGTTCCTCTTAAAAAGTAGACTTTATCTAGGATCTAGTAAATACTTTAAAAAGTTTATCTACTAGATTTAATTTTTTTATCTTATATTTAATAATAAAATTAAAAGGAATTAGACTTATCAGTTATTAGATTTATTTTCTATTAATTTTAGTTTAGTATATGAAAGATTATAAATTTAAATAATTAAATAAGATTTTAATTATTTAAAAAATTTTCTTGAGATATTGTCGCCATTATTTAAAAAAATAAATAATAATAAATAGTTCTTAATTTAAAGTATTATAATTTAATTTAGTACTAGAGAACTTATAAAACTAAAAAATAACTAGATAGAATATATTCTTATTATTAAATTAAAATAAGATTTTATTTATATTTTCTTTAAATGTATCAGTTTCTAAATATTAGGATTATATAAGATTAAAATATATTAATAAAAATACTTATTGAAAAATAATAATTAAATAATAAAAAGTTATTTATTTATATAGATTTAATTAAATTTTTCTAGATTTTTATCTATTAACTGCTCCACGAAGTAAAGAGATAAGAAATAATATAATATAAAAATAATTTTAAATAAATTATTAATAAAAATTATAAAATCTTAAGAAGACTTGGATATTATAATAACTTTTAAATAATAATTATAAAATAATATTATTTATTTAATAAGGATTTATAGATACATTATTAATATTAATAATATATTCTAGGAATTTAACTTGGGATTCATAAAATAAATATTTTAATAATTTTATATAAAATTTAGTTTCTTAAAATTTTTTTAATATTTAATAAATATATTTTATATAGGATTCCTTGTCTAGTGAAAAAATAAAGATATTATTTAAATATATTATATAAAAATTATTAAAAAGTCCACGGAGTATAGTATATATATAATTTTAAAAAATTATTAGAGTATTAATTAACCTAAATAATATAATTATATATTTAAAATAATTATATTAAATATAAAATATTATTTTCTATTCATTCCTTTCTTTGATATGAATTTAGTAGTAAATATTTTTAATATTAATTTTTAAAAAATATTTACTATCTGAAACCCTGTTAAGGATCTCTAAAATAAGAAATAAAAAATAGTAATTTTTAATAAAAACTTTATTAAGATTTCTATAGTCTATATAAAAATATAAATTATTATTTTTTTTAAGTATAAAAAGAATAGGAGCTCCTGTAGGACTTTTAAAAAAATATATTTATTTTAATTTTAAATTTTTATTAATATATTTTTATAGGATTTTAAATTCAGCTTCTAAAAAAATATATATAGGATTATATAAAAATATTTTATTAGACTTAAGATTAATAGTATAGTTTATATAATTATAAGAAAATAATTAAAAAAAATCTATAGAGAAAATATTATAGAATTAATAAAATTTAATCAGTAATAGCTCTAGATTTAATAATAAATTATAAATATTTTTTTTAAATAGCTAGATATCTTTAAAAAATTTAATAATAATATATATTTTTACTAAATTTCAAGTTACTCTAGTGAATTTGGTGGTAGAAAAAAAAAATAGAAAATATATTAAATTATTATAAATAATTCTATATTAATAAAATAATATATAGATTTTAAAGCATGGTCATAAATAGTAAAATAAAATTATTATTTAATTAAAAATCTTTATTAATTTTTATATAATATTATTTAAAAATTCAAGTGCTTCCTCGTAAATTAATAATAATAATAAAAATTTTTTATATATTATAAATAAAAATATTAATTTAATTAATTATCTTAATCCTAGATGCAGTAACTAGAGTATATTAAAATTTATAAATTTTAATAAATTAGTAATTAATAATATTTATTTTAATATAATTATTTAAATCTGTAAAGGTTTCAAGATTATTTTAAATATAAATAAAAATATAAAAATAATAAATAATTCTTACTATATATAAATAATAAAATTAAAATTATAAAATTTATTTTAATTTTTTTATTTTTTCCTCTGACTCTAATAAGAACTGGTAGATTTTAGTAAATTAAATTTTTTTATTTTTAATAAAATAATAATTTATAAAGTATTAAATATTATTATATATAAAATATTATAATTATTTACTATTTTTTCTGACGGAGTTTTCCTTATAATTTAAAATATTATTTATAATAAATTTATTATCATAATAACTCAAAATCTGTTTGTGTAGTTTATAATTATTAAATTAATTATTATTTTATTTATATTTTTTTTATTATTTTATAATTTATAATAATAAATAATAATAAATATTATTTTCTTTTATTCTTTAAGTAAGTGCGGAACGTATTCTTAAATATAATAATTTAAATCTAGTAATAATTTAATAAAGTATAATAAAGTTTTTTTTTAGTTTAATGGAGAAAATATTTAAAATATTAAAATAAATATAAAACTTTTTTAGATCTTGATTATATTACTAATAAGTTTATTTAAATTAAACTATAGTATCTAGCTGAAGAGTAGTAGTATTTTAAATTAAAATAAGAATTTAGTTTTTAAATTAGGATTATAATTTTTTAAGTAATTATCTTTCTTTAATTTTTATTATTAGTAAAATAATACTATCTTTATCTATATATTAGATCTATATAATTAATAGTAGTAAAAATCTTGCATTCCTTAGTAAAATATTTTTTAAAAATTTTCTAAAATATATATTTTAGATTAATAATCTATTCCTAATATTTCTAGAAATTAAAGTTTAATATAAAATAAGAGATATTTTTAAATTTAATTTTTTTTCTTCCTTATTAGATTTAGAGAAAGATTAATAATATTTAAATAAAATTTTACTAAAAGAATAATTTCTCTGGAAGTAGATTATTCTTTATTATAAATTATTAACTTACTTTAATTGATGAATATAATTTTTTAATTATTAAATTTCTTTAATAGTAAGAATAATATTTAAGAATAGTTTTAAATTAGTTTAGTTACTAACTAATTTTATTTTTTTATAATTTTTAAAAAGTGGCATCTTCCTTAAATAGTTAAAAAAAAGATTAAAATATGATAAGATCTACTTATTAAAATAAAAAATCTATTAACTAGGTAAGAAACTAGTTATTAAATATATAAAATTTTATTAATAATAATAATATAATCTATATCCACAAGATAGAGACTGATCCTTGAAGGATTAGTAACTTAATATTAAGAAATATTATTTTATAGTAAGTAAAAAGATCCTGAACCATTACTAATAATTTTATTATTTTTATAATTATTCTAGTATATTACTATAAAAATCTGGACTACACTGGCTGAACTACTACAGAACCAGAATATCAGTCAGGCCGGTGCCGATAAGATAAGACCTCTATCTGGCCTGTTCTATCATACTCTCCAGGGTTTGAGGATAATTCCAGGATACGCAGATTTTCCCATGCTCATTACTGTGTACCACGCTAGTCTCCTTAAATCAATCTCCACCTATTACGTACTCCGTATCTTTCTTGGCATTAGCTGCTTATAGCCTGATTGATACCGGATAGGTAGTACTCCGTACGTACTGTTATACTATGGGACGTGTTGTAAAGATTGTAAAAATGGTGATCATGTGGGCCAGTTTAGTAATCTCGATTCTGTTGGTTTTATGATATCAGGACCTGATTTAATTGATTCTGAAGCCATTCGGAGGTTATCCAACAGGAAGCGGTAGGAAGGTGGAAGAGATAATCAGACTTGCCACAGTGGGTAATTTTTACAATCTTGTCGACACATCCCATAGTAGCTTATAAGGCTGCAGATATGCAGTTAAGCACCCCACTCCGTGTGGAGTACTAGACCCTCCCTAGCCCCACCATTTAGCCCTGTATGTCAGGTTTCCCGAAGAGCCACATTCAGTCAACAATTTTACTCTACATTAGAGTGATTCTTACGGCATACGACACTCTTTTCTATCATTTTGCCCCCACTAGATACGAAGTATATACTGGTTAAAACCCTCGCAAAGTAGTTAGCTGTCCGCGTACAGCCTGATAACTGAAGCCCCTACTAATTCTCTGACGAGTTTGAGGAACCCATAGAAACATCATTCCAAACCATTACACCTGTGGGTCACACAGCCTTGGGCAGTGTTTAGCCAGGTCAAGATGTAAGAATGATAGCTAAAACCCTGGATCGTAGTATGTTCTCACTCATTGCCTATAACAGGAAGCTTTGCTATCCCTGCCAGACTATTAAAACCAACAGGTTACCATCCAACCCTATCCCTATGCCCTACTAGGAGAGCAAGCAAAGATATGTCTGATTAGAGCTTATAGAAGCACGACCGTTACCGAAGAGCAAACACGTCTGTTATAAGCTGGTAGAGATGCACAGTATTATGAAAGTTTATTGATCAGGTTCTGGTATAAGTAACCTTCAATATGGGCGCGGTCTCATGCAAACAAACGACAAAGGCATACCAGGGCGTTGCCCATGGCATATAAACTTATAATATCGGGTGCCCGTTATCCGTAATTGTAGAGTGATGGGTACTTTCCCTAATGCCATGTTATGGAAGCACTATACTGGAAGACGAATAAATGCTTCATAACTTGTATCGCTTGACCCTGTTGCTCAACGGGACTCTTGGCAAGCATACGCAGACGGATTCAACGAGTCTCCATAAAATTTATCCCTAATGACAATCCATGTCTACCTACTTCATAACGTTGTCCCATAGAAGCAGGACTAACATCCTTTCCCGTTCCTTCCCCCAGGCCATTTGCCGCGGACTGCGCTGAGGTAACCAGGAGTGATATACATGAAACCGAAGGTGAGTGATGTGACGCTGCGATCGCCAAACCCTATACTTGAAGCACCATGCCATTTCGACTTGCTGCTTCTTCTACGTGGAAACCAAAGACAAGGCGGTAAAGGTCTCGTAACCAAGGGTATTGACCCCCCTGCACCATTATCTGAACGGCAGAGGCTACATCGACCGCACTCGCCCGAGCTGACGGCCGAACACCCCTAAATGCTGGGTCGAACGCTACTAACCGCTTGTAATTTTTTAGGAGCGCAACTTGCCAAGGCATCGACCCGAAAGCGTCTGAAGAAAGCGACTTGACAAATGATGAAAATCCCTGTTGTCCAAAATGCTGGAACCCGCTATTGATTGCGGCTTGGGTCACTAGAACTTGGATAACGGTCAAGTTGGGATCTTTGGATGAGATTTTTACTGTCCTTGTGGACGACGTCTGTTCGGAAGCTTGACTTTTCCCCGAGATATTTGACGAGTTTGACGACCATGTAGCGTGTGAAGCATGACCTGGGCCTTGGCCCAGAACAAATATGTTTTGTACTGGTGCATCATCAGGCGATACAGTCGCAGTATCATCAAAGATGGTCGTTGGCGTTTCTGGGTTCCCTTGATACCCAACCAACTCATCATTCAACCCCGATTCAGGTGGTCTTGGCTGCTGAACGGCTTGCATGAATGTTGCTTGACTCGGTCGTGGAGTTCCACGATCAGAGCTTCGTAGAGTCCTTAGGGTCCAACCTTCGCGGAAAACATCGCATAATTCCCAGCAGGCCTGAACTGCAGAGCCAAGCAATTCCTCGCCCAGATTTTTTCGCTCTTTTATACTCTGACGTATGCTGAACAGCATCTCGGCTAGTGACCAGCAAGCACTCAATAGAGAATCTGTCTCTGATACAAGTGTTCTCTGTTTCATCAGACGGTGGCAGAGCGTAATATAAAAGTCTAATGTCCTCTCCCGAAAAGCATCGGGTAATTTCCGATCATGTGTATTGTAGAGATGATTGTTGAGCTCAAAACTAACTCGTAGAACGGAATCTGCACTCTCGTCGTTCTTAACACGGGTTTCAAACAATGTCTGGCAAAAGCTTCTGCAAAGGTCAAGGGTTGGGTTGACTCGTGATGCATAGTCGTCGTTCTGGCTGTCATATAATTGTTGACATAATCGCCAACATGATTTCCATGTATCCTCCGGAGAATCCACAATGTAGCCATGACGTTCGCGGTGTATGTAGCTTAGAGTCGCTAGTGTATTGCAAAGAGCCCAGCATTCGGCAAGGGCTGCTCGCAAAGCCGTGATCTCAGCTTCCTCGTCGCATGGATGCATGACCTTAGATCCAAGTGCCTCCGGTGCCCTGTCTATATGCTGATTGGTGACCCTAGCGGCAATTTCAGGCATGTCAGATTTTCCGTTAACAGAGGGCTCAGCATATAAATGACTCTCTCCGTGGTGGCCGAGGGCTATGTCCACTTCTTTCTGGCCGACTGGATGCATATTATGCCTGATATCTAAGAGATCCTGCCTCGTTTGTGCACGAGGAGTAGCCCTTTCAAACCAGTTTTTGGCGGGTTGAATGGACGTCGTAAGCGGTGGTGGTGATAATGGACCATTTGAGGTTTTCTGATGATCGTCAGTCTGCCATAACGCAATAGTCGGCATTTGTGATATAGTACCTTTCCTATTGTTTCTAATTCATGGGCTAGGGGGACATGTGTCACCGCATTAGATGCCGAGGATGGTACCTCGTTTGAGCGAGATGGAGGAGGATTGCTAGAATATCGTTGACTATTTACCTTCTTGCAACATTCAAAAGTTAGTGGGTTAGTTAACACTGTAGATAGAGAGACTATAGGCCTTGGCTGGGTAAGTCTCACGAATTCGCCGAACCCAGCAGGTGCATGGATTACGGATTGTGGAGGCTCGTCATCATTCGATCTTGTTTGAATGCCATTGCAATCTGCATCCGCAGTTTGTATCTTTCGAATAACCCTCAAGTCAATGAGATCCCCAGCATATATTTTCATGTCTTGCGATGGAGTTATACATACTGTGAGTTCAGCTTTAGTGTTGTTTGTGATGGGCGGTGCATGAGTTGTTGGCATCGCAGGCCCAACTTCACATATTATAGCATCTTCAGGCTCCGAACTGTCTGTTCCACCGGTAGTTGACATTATTGAATGTGACTCTGTATTGTACAATAACCCTTCGTCAGGTTCGGTGCGATGATTGTCATCGGGCCTGACAATCAGCATGACTATTGGCTTGCGATATGTTTGCTATCTTACATTTTGGAGAACTATTGGTGAAGTAAATAGCGATCACTGAATTATCAAGTGTTGAAAGAGAAGGACAAGAAAGCAATCATATTGTGTTCGATATATTTCAGGATAGTAGGCCGAAATGACAGTGTCTCAATGCATTGAAATGACAGGGTAACGAAAGCAGATGAAGAGGTAGATATAGGTTGGTTGGCCAGCGCCAATTTGGCGGGGACACGGGTCCATAAGGAGTGGTTGTTCGCTCTATTGCCCATTAGCGCGCGTCCTACATACTCTGGCTGTGCTTAGGCCGCGATACACCATGCGCGAGACTAGTAGATAGTTGATTGTATTATCACCGCAGATAGATACATAAGTACCTGAGTTCTTACATGCTTACAGTCTAGTTAGGTACGCATGGGTCCGCTGTCAATACAGGGATAGTTACGGAGTAGATTGGATACTGCGGCGTACTAGCGTACAACTGCATTGTACTAGTGCAAAAGATTATCTTATACCTAACAAGTCTGGAGTTAGCGATCAAATATATATAGCAGCGCGTGGACATGTACCTTAGTAGTTGAATTTCTAAAGCATTCAGTAACAATATCAGTGAATCGACTAGGAGGGTAGACATATCATGTTAAGCTTTCTGATGAGCTGTTTATACCACTACACGGTGACTTAGCCGCTAAACGATGTGACAGATGTGCAATTAGAACCATTTCGCCGCCGGTTGTGGAGGGGTATCCCAAATTTCTACTGGCTCCGCCATGTTCAAGTGCTCCGCCCCCCGTACTACGATCGGCTCACCTATAAGTTCCTCCTTGTACCTATAGTAACCTAGTATACTCATACGCTCAAAATCTGGATTCTGCGCAGAAGAAGCATGCAAATCATGTACTCGATCTCTTGAATGATGTACGGCGAGTCTGTAGAATGAGGGGCGGTAGTCCATACTGCCGACAGGACTCTTATTCCCCAGGTCACTGGCTATTTACTGCTTGAGGCGCTTATACATATATAATAATAAACATATCTGTCATTGAAGTCCAACCCCCCCCCCCCCCGCGCCCCCAATTTTTGGATAGGTTAATTACCGTACTAATGTTCAAAGTGGTGCGATATCTGCCCTGCTGCTTTGGGAATGAAGATGTGCTGTCTCCGTACTCAATCATCAGCTACAGATGCTAAATCTAGCCGCCCATTTTGAGGTTACAATGCACTTCCCTACATATAAAAAAATGGACAGCAAAAGAAAGTAGTAGTGCATCTAGTGCAATGAATTATAGGAGATTTTTACCATGGCCGAAATCCGTGACTATATGAAGCATTGTTCCCGGAAAAAAAAAGCAAAAACGCCGACATCATCTTCACAAAGACCGGAAGGAACAAGAGAAGAAAAGGGGTAAAGAGAGGAAGAAACCAGAATGGTTGTAACATAAGGGCTGCCCATCATTTAGCCAGTCCCCTGCAAGCCATATATACCCGCCATCAACCTCTGATAATAGTAGACTCTGCATTTCGTAAAATGTGGTGCAAGTTTCTACTGTGCTGCGTGAGGGTATTTCTGCCGATGATGCTGGTGGACCTCAGGTTCATATTTGGTTTTTCGCCCGGTCTCTCTCCGTGGGATTGTACCTATTGCAAGATTGAGTTCCAGGGCCACTTTACTTCTGAATATGTAGGCTCATACCGTAAAAGTTTCTCTATCAAATCGACGTGCGTCATAATCATTCTGCGACAACAGTACCGCTTACAGCCAAGCTGATCCATGGCGTCACTTTCAAGCACCGGTTAGATCGCCATGGCAGAGAACAGTCGACTTATAAAACCTACCCATCGGGAATGCCCTCATCGAGAAGTTGAAGATAACGCTCCCAGAGGTCTCCGACAACCTATACAGTTTTACCACACGAGGTTAGAAGGAGCAAATGAGAAGTAAGTGCCACGTACCTTGCCGCAAGAAAAACAGCGGACGGGGATGATCATTTGGTCTGAATTATCTTTAGAAGTCTTTTCGCTCGGAGATTTGCTGATGTATATGGATGTATATGGAAGCAGACAAGAACAGAGATTTTAAGAAAGGTTGATAGCAGAAGAATCTGAGACTCGATGCGTATGTCTTCGTCGTTACAGGCAATGAATGCAGTTTTTGTCTTCCACTAGGTCTGAGGCTGTACTGTAGGTAATTATCATAGCTTGCTACAGAGGTGCTTCGATTGGACAGTTTTGGAGATTCGGCCCCATTTATTTCCCTCCCAGAAGAAAATTACGATATCAGTATTAGTGTGTTTCACGGCTGCTGATTGTGAAATACCGCTATTCTAGAAGAGGAATGACCACACCCGAGACAGGATGACCCAGAAAAAAAAAGTAAAATCAAATAGCTAGAAGACAACGGCCTGAATTTTAGACGTTATTGTCACTGTTGACTTTGCCAATACAGCAGTACATAGATGGCTAGTACATCAGCACTGCATGAGAAATCACCATACTTTGTCTAGATTTCTTTTTCTCACTCATTCACCATATCACCATGGCAATGGTGGGTTCTCACGATCCAAGACGACTGTCAAAGAGATCCCGAGCTGGCGATGCGGCTCTGGAGAAGACAACGCAGACCGATGATGCACGAGTCAAGCGGCGTCGCACATCTCAAATCAAAAATGACGTCGTTAAACCACACACGCCATCTGTAAGCAGGGCAGATAAGAATGGGATCGATATGCTCGCTGCCACAAGTGTTGCTGCTGTACAGAAGAGCGAGATGCTACATGATCCATGGTCTTCCGTTAGTGTGGTGGCTGGCCAGTACAGCAACTTAGATCCAATCTTTACGCCTGATGATGAGTGAGTACATTTGTTTTTGGGTCGTTGCAGCTGAAGAGTTCTCTAAGCGAATATCAATACTAGATACCTCCTTCTCGGTCTCGAGACAGCCGTCCATGTTTATTCTCTTGCAACTTCGCGCCTTCTTCGAACCCTTCATTCCAAAGACGGAGGTAGCATAGTCGGATATAAGCTTTCTCCAGAAAACCCGAAATTTCTCTATACCTTTATGTTGAACGGTTCTGTGAGCAAATGGGAATGGCTTTCCGGCGAACAATGTTCATACTGGGATACATGCCACAGGACAATTTGCGTTGACGTGTCACTTAGTGATGCTGGAACAGACTTATTGTTCTTCCTGCAGGAACGCAAGGATGGGAAACGGGGGATAACAATCCGGAACTCAAGCGATGAAAAGCCACGCGAAAGCGTCATACTCGAGACTCATGTACAAATCAGTCATCTGAGAATTGCATGCCAAGGCCAATTTATCATGGCATATGGCGAACAGCATGTATTTTTCGGCCGCACGGGGTTTGAGCAGGCTTTGGAATCCGTCCAATATACCTGGAGAGAAGTCAACTTGCCTGTCAGCATCATGTGCATTGATGTTCGACAGAACGCAATTTCAAATCGATCTGCAGTGCAGTCCTCAAGAGACCGAAAGTATTTGGACAAGATTGACCTCGTACTTGGTGAAACATGTGGATCCATCCTTATCTACCATGATATATTGCGTTTCCTCGACGATGAGGAAGGCCGACTGAATAGGAAAATTCTAACGCCTCGGCGCCTACATTGGCATAGAGGTTCTGTCAATAGTGTCCGTTGGTCTAAGGACGGTATGTTCTGCAAAACAAAGACCCTATACGAAGTCTACTAACGAAAATTTTGATGGAAAGGCAATTATATTATATCAGGTGGCAATGAGTCAGTCATGGTCCTTTGGCAGTTGGACACTGGGAGAAAGCAGTTCCTACCCCATCTCTCCTCCCCGATTGGCAACATTGTCATCTCTACGAGTGGAAGCTTATATGCTGTCAAATTATCCGACAACTCGATTATAGTGCTGTCAGCGCGAGAATTACAACCTTCTTCTACCATCACAGGCCTGCAACTATGTCCCAAGGTTACAAATGCCCATGGCGAAATTGCTTCTGGAGTACAGCCCTCGTTTGGGCTTGTCGCTGCTGCGTTGCATCCGCAGAATCCGGATCAACTTCTCATAACTGTGCCTGCCTCTCGTCAGACGACTCAAGAAGGTCATCCTTTGGTTAATGCGTCCACACTTCAAACATACGATATTCGTACAAACTCTCATGTTTCGCGTCAAGCCCTTGCGCGCACTAACGCTACTACGCTAAAAATCAGCCCTGAAGGCTCACATATAGTCACCCCAGATGTTAGCCATCTGAGTGTTTCCATGGACGGGAAATGGATGGCCACAATTGACAACTGGAGCCCCTACGTGACAGACATGCAGGGTCTGTACAACAGGGAATCTGGTATCAACAGACTTTCCGAAGACTCGCAGGAGATATTCTTGAAGTTCTGGAGATGGAGTAATTCTTCCAACCTCTGGGAATTGGTCACCCGAATTGATAGCCCCCATTTCTCAGACAAAGGTCCTGCGCGTGTCTTGCATATCGCTGTACGGGCGCACAGTCCTGAATTCGCAACTCTCGGTTCCGATGCAGTCTTGCGCCTTTGGTGTCCGAGTATCAGGCAACGCAGTGGTTTAAAGATTGGCGATGTAGACCAGCCCACAGAAACATGGAAATGTCGGAGTGCCGTCGACCTGAAAACATACTTCGATGTCGGAATGGCTGATAGCCTAAGTGCAGCTGCCATGGATTTCTCCCAAGACGGGTCTGTTCTTGCTGTCTGCTTAGGATCAACGACAACCCTGAATTCTGGACTTGCTATATTGATCGATGCTCAAAAATGTACCGTCCGATACAGCAGGGTTGGTATACAAAAGGATCTGCCCAGTGCGGCCGCATTCATCGGATGCAATCTTGTTATTGCGTCGAGGCAATCGGTGTCCATCTGGGATACGGTTGATGATCTTGTGAGGACAATTGAGTTGCCAGGGCCCGGAAACATCCAATTGAACCATCGACGTCTGTTAGCCGTGAATTATGAGACGCAAACCTTTGCCGTATCAGTACAGTCTTCGCCAAGGGATTCCATATCCAAGAAGAACCGCACTTCACAGTTTAGCATACAGGTCTACGATATCCGAACACTGTCATTGCTTTCGGAAACTGTGCTGGGGCGTCATCCGGTTGCATTGCTTTCGGCTATGCACTCTAGCGACTACGTTGTTGTTGATGCCGCGGCTAATGTCCAACGAATTGGCCGGGTGGACAAAAGCTTCCAGAGTAACGGTCATTCGCTTGACCTTACAACCCACCTTAATTCAGGCCTGGCAAACCTATTTGGACAGCAAGATGGTGGCAAGTCCCAAGATCCACACTACATTGCCATGGCCTCTAGCATGGATAATCAGAAGCCGCAAAAGGAACTGGCCAGTGTATTTGGTGATGCGCCACCTTTTGTTATGCCTCCTGCCAATATGATTTTCCGCAACGTGATAGATGCTCTATCCGGTTAGTTGCGGAGGGGCTTGGGACCAAGCTTATTAAGGGACTACTACCATGTTGTATCTTTTGCTGTGTTGCTCATACCATTAGCACGAAAATGGCTGCCCAAAATTTCAACAGGCTGTTCCTGTATACAATTTATGTCTTGATCTAGTTCAGCCAGGCCAGTCTACATAGCAAATTGTAGCCGTCTTATCTCCCTAGCAATTTTCACAGAGCTATCAACAGCGCTTAGACAGTCAAACAGTTATAATCTAAAAAAGGCTACTAGTCGAATCTTGCTCTAAGCCCGTGGTACGAATGACCGGTGATCCGTCTATATAAACTAAAAGTACGCTAAAACTCACATACCTAAACATATACCAGGCTATCACGCTAATTTCCCAATCCTTCTCCGCAACTTGAAGATTCTGGTACGTAGCCATGTTAGAAAGAGTACCCATGTGTTTTTAGGTTGTGATTTCCAAGTGTTTGGACCCGAATCTGAAATTGGTGGAAGCTGTGGCTTCTCAGGGACCTCATTCTCCCGGTCTGTCCAAGTTGAATCGTCGTCTGTCGTCCGTGCTCGCCAATGCTGCTTTTCCCTCTGCTTTGTTTGTTTTTCTTCCGCCTTCATCTGCTGCGCTTCGAACCTCCATGTTTTAGCTGCTTCTTTCTCTTCAAACGCCTGACGTGCTGCTTGTACCGTAGCTGCCCGAGCCACTGGATCCATACTGGTCCGTGTCTTAGATCGAAAAACAAAATCCAAGGATGATCTAGATACTGGGGACGTTGTGTCTAAAGTGCTTCCATTGTCTCTCGAGTATCCAAAAGATGAGCGGCCGGTTATGTTGGTCTGAGAGACTCCAGGTGATCTTGTGGAAGAACTATCATGTGTCTGCAATGACAATCGTGGAGTCTTGCTCGAATTGGCCCGCACTGATGTATAGAAAACCTCGGACCCTAACTGCGTCGAGGAATTGCTCCCCGCTGAGAGATCCCTAGGGGAATCCTCGCTCCCAAACACTGAGGCTTGACACGATTGGTTTAATGGAGGAGTATATGCACGTGGGGCGAGACGCATTGGATGGACATATTGAGAGCCCGGCTTACTTATGCCTGGAGTGCTGGCAGTGGAGACTTGGGACATTGCACTGGTGGATTGACGATGAAGAGCGGATGAATTTTTTCGAATCGGATGGCTGGTCGATTCGCCCCGAGGTGTCGCCCTCTCATATCTTGTATAGATTCCTAACCCCTCCTGTTCGAATGATGACCGCGAAAGGTCAACTGTGGTGGGTGATGAACCGCCAGATGATGCTTTCCTGAGCAATGGCATTCTGTGCAAGTGGCTCTTCGCTGTCTCCTCGTAGATTTGTGAAGGAAAGCCGGTAAAAGCTAGATGGAACATCCAAAGTACGTATATCCATCAACTGGCCCAACCCCCGAGGCGGTTCGTCGTGTAAAGGTGATCGACTGAGCTTGTCCGACCAAGTAAGGATTTGTCTCCTTTTCCTTTGATGAGAATGACCTTCAGCCAACATTCAATGGAAACAGGCTCTTCTCAGTGTCGTTAAAATCGGCAGATAAGTTAGCCAGGACCTTGTCTTCATTGCGATGTGACCCCGTCCGATCCTCAGTACTAGACTGCTTCAGGAAAACTGAACGAGAATGAATCTGTCAAAACGAACCAGATTCCTCGGTGCTTGGTTGCTGAGCGAACGATGCCACTAACACTGAACCTTGTAGCGAAATCTTCAAAATGCCGTAGGAATCAGTCGTGGACAAATCCTCTCCAAAACCCCGTTGCCTTGTTTTCCAAGCCACTGGCGGAAGCGATCAAAAAGTTCAGTGGTTCCTTACAGGACGCATTGTCGGCACGGTCGTGAGGTGATAAGCAAAGACAGTAAGGGTCTTCGGCTCCAGACAGAATAGTACGTATCAGAGGGTTTGATAACTTTATGGCAGGGTGGAATGTCAACGATAATATACGGTAAGTACAAGATAAGTCAACAAGCGGCATTCATGACCATGGAAAGATCAAATGGGAAGGGGTTTGTAACAAGGCAGGATCGCTATGATCATGGATCAGCAAAATAGTAAGCCTTGAAGATCGTCAGGATATGGTTCAGCGGGCGAAGCGATGGTGTCTGGTCTCAATAGCAGGCACCTCCATCGGTGGAGGGGAAAAGAGGAGAAGTAGGCAAGGCAACAGTGGGGAGAGAGGGAGAGAGGGGGGGGGTTAGAGGGGAATGGGAGGGGAGGGAGGCAGAAGATGGATAAAGAGAAGAGGGGAGGAGGGAGGAGGAGGGGGTAAAAAAGAACCCGGGAGTCTAAGAGAGGTGGTAGTAGTGAGGTAAATAGTGGATTGTTATGGGAAGACAGCGGTGAAGTCGGCGCGACGGATGCGGAGGTTCCTCCAGCCAACCTGACTTTACCGGCTCTTCCGACGGCTAGTGAGTGAGTGGAACACAATCATGATCATGATGATGACAGCAGGCTACTGAAGGGAGACTTGGCACTTGAGCTTTATCTGCCAAGAAAGGTGTTCAAGGCTGTCGTTACATGGCCACATGTGGCACATGGATGTCTTTTGTCTAGACCGACTCATCTGAATCCTGCCGCGATCTGGAAAGATTGATGATCTACGGAGTACTCCGTACAGTTGCATCTTCTTGGTTTGTGACCCTTACAATACGTGCCCACTATCCATGTTCATTCACTCATCAGCAAGCACAATAGTACGTGATGACAGTAAGGTAAGGTATAATATGGTATCGGACCTCTCTTACAACAGAACCGTTAGTAAGTAGGATGTAATGTAAAGAGTATGCATTAGTGAGTACTATGTATAAGAAGGAATCAACCTAAGCCTGCATGTATTTATTACATGGTGGGAATGTGAAGGTACTTGCATTCTTGCACAATCCAACTCTGGGAAGCTATGGCGCCTTGTGATTTGAATCACCCACTCTGTCTCTAGCTCTACATGAATTTGAGTCCTTACACAGTGTTTAGCTTGCTTGTAATTGGGTACAATATCTATCATCCTCATTACAAGCAATGCAATATCTCCCCTTCACCATTGTACTTGGAGGCACTGGTGCGATGGGATGCTGGCATGGGTTATTATTAGAGGTGAAGTTACAAGGGTTCACTTCCCACTACTCTGCCTCGTGCGGGAAAGGCCTTCCGAGTTGGTCATATCGTTCTATTATTGCCCCTCCAAGGCGGAACTTCGTCTCATAGGGCCATCAATAACCTATCTTTGACCCGATTTCCTGCTCATCTGCTTGCTGGCTGTATATTCTCTCTTCCAGGCGTTCACCGTCGGGAACCAGCCCTGAAAGTCTTATCTCAACCGGAGTTTGACCAAACTTTCAGCCGAAGGGTATATCAATAATCATATAGAAAGACCTTGGTAGATAGGCTCGTCCTTCTAGTATGGTGGCGAATGTCAAAGATCCGACGGCGAGAAAGTACCCATTAGAGGTTGCAATGGCGAAGGCAAACTCAAGATACATTATTGAGAACCAAGACCCCTATGAAAACACTCTTGGTAGAGGGGTCTCTAGTCTAAATAGTAGAAGGCAAAAAGGGCATATTGGCGTTTATGGCAACATTTGATGGTTGCACAACCCGTCTTCATAAAATTATATGTGCTGGATCCAAGTAGGTGCTAATTTACCAATGCAGACTGACCTACGTGCTTACCATTCTTTCACTTCTCCTGTCACCGGAGGTTCAATCCGAACGACCTTGTCGCAATTAAGCAAACAAAGGGGATCAAAAGCCAGTTTTAGCTGGAAGACAGAAATTTACTTGCATTAGTACAAAGGATCCTTGAGTGCCACCGTGGAACATGGATGTAGGGCCACTTACCCGACGCATTGCATCCACTGTAGATTCACCTAGTTCGTGTTTCAGGTAATCACGCTTGACGATGCCAACACCATGTTCGCCAGTAACGGTACCTTCCAGTTCCACGGCTCGCTTTACCATCCGGTGAACCACAGCTTCGGCCGTTGCTTTTTCAGCTTCGTTGAAAAGGATGATCGCTATCGCGCATTAAATGCGGGTTATTCTAACGTTCTTTTTTGGGCCGAGGGGGGTTGGGGGGGACATAAGTTCTTCATACCGTGGAAATTGCCATCTCCAACGTGACCACAAATTCCAGCCAACAAGCCACTTTGTGTCATGTCATGCTTCGTAGCTTCAATAATCTCAGGTAATTTGCTCATAGGAACAGCCACGTCGGTCGTCCAGACATGGTCTTCAGGTCCTCTTCTCATAGACATGACACTCCAAAGTGCTTGTTTTCGGGCGCTCCAAAGTTCTTGCATTTCGTCTTCGCCTCGAGCAAACTCGAAGGACCGACCCGCAGTGGCAGAAACAATCTTCTGCACCATGCTTATTTGCTCCTTGACACCCACAGGTGTTCCTGTAAATTTGAAGAAGATAGTTGGCGATTCCTTCCAATGCCGGCTAGTGGACTGGCTGTCATTAATGCACTTCATTTGCACATCATCCAAGATCTCCAGGCCAGCAACTGGTATACCTTCTTCCACCACGCGCGTTACACATTCTGCTGCATTCTGTATCGTGGGAAAGCTTGCGACGGCGACATTTTGGCTCTTAGGTTTAACTGTCAACTTCAATGTCGCTTCGGTCACTAGCCCCAGGGTACCTTCACTCCCAATGAAAAGTCTGGTGAGATCGTAACCAGCACTCGACTTCCGTGGACGTTGTCTCGTTTTGATGATGGTCCCATCGGCAAGTACAACAGTTAAGGAAAGAACCCAATCACGCATAGTCCCATATCGATATGCGTTCGTTCCCGAGCAGCCTGTACCGATCATGCCACCGATCATAGCGCCAGGCCCCGGGTCAGGAGGGAAAAACAACCCATCTTGAGAAAGCTGCTCATTCAACTCCTCCCAGCCGACAGCGGGCTGGACCACGACGTCTAGATCTCGCTTATGAAGTCTCAAGATACGATCCATGCGACGGAAATCAATGCATACGCCTCCCCTAGTCGGCGCAAAATGACCCTCCAAGCTGGTACCACCTGAGTAAGGGGTCACTGGGATCAATCTTTGATGGCAAACCCTCATTATTTTGGAGACCTCTTCGGTAGTAGATGGGTAGAGAACGAGGAACGGTCTTTCATCTTTTTTCAGTGTATATGAAGACCAGTCGGATCCCGAATGCATTTCCAAATCAGCATTTTGCGTGGAGACATTATCTTTCCCCAGGATCTCAACGAAATCGGCCCAAGCGGCCTGAAGGTTTGACACAGAAACATTGTGTCGCGGGGATTCTATATCAAATACAGATGTCGTCGAAGAGGTAGGAAGCTCAGCAGGCTTCAATGACCCTAGGTAATACGCTCCGGTGGAAAAGAAAACCAATGCTAACACAGTGGCATCAGAAAAAGAGTTCATGAGACTCAGGGGTGTTGATGAAGCAGGCTTCGGGCAATAGGCGTACCGAACATCAATGCCGCATAGCGGCCACCCTGGGACTGGGTTTGATACTGTGAATACCGTTCCTGTTCAGCACGCTCACGCTTAATGCGTTGTTGTGTACTTTCATACAATTGATGCTTGAAGGGCTGAGGCTTGTCATCGGCGCAATGTTGGGAAAGACGCAGACCTCTCTTTTGGGATACCGAGAGTAATGGACTGCCAAAGCGACAGCTCATTCTTGGCGGAAGCGTGCGCATCGTGCCCCGCAAGCGAAGGAGAGATTCGGCTCTGATCATGGCGAGGGGAGGAGGATGATGACGACGGTCGGAAGGAAGAGCGAAAGATGAGCTAGACAGGGGCGGTGTGATCTTCTGAGTTTCAAGGGAGAACCATCGCGTGGAGGCAGTAAATGGGCCAAGTCACTGTCCTGGGTACAAGAAATTAGAGTTGATGGATGATGGATGGTGGATGATAGTGGATGGAGGATGGTTGGGTTTCTGGACGATAGCGATCGCAAATAAATCAAGTCTAAACCTCAAGCGGTAAGGCCGCAGTACTTGCTTAACTATTCAATTGACTATGTACCTAAAAGTTACTCACTGCAAGAGGCAGTGGAGTGTAGCCATGCCAATGTAGATGTGTGTACGGAGTATGACTGACTGCCTGTCTCTTATCTAACATACGTCTGACTTATAGATTGATGTTAATTAGTACTCTAATAACTGGCACCAGTTGGACCAGATCAATCATAACATCACCCCGGAGTAACGCAAGTTCACTTTTACCGATTCGGATCTAGACCTGGCATTGCTTCTACCTATTAACCGTAGTATGGAGCCTGTAGATACTGCCTACTCAATACATAGTGATAATGGTACCTTAAGTCCAAGCTAGTTAGCTCAAGGCCCAGTCCTGATGGACTTACTAATAGTACCAGCAACCGGTAAGTCGCCTTGTCCGGGTAAATCGAGCACAACACCGGTTAATTATGGGCCAATGAGGGTTTTCCCACCCCGCCTCCTCTTCCCCATACCCTACTTACATAGGTACGGAGCACCTACCAAGCTACCCAAGATGGATGTCGTTCGCGGATCGAGAAGAACCAAAGCACTAAAAAGGTGCATCAGCAAAAAGCCGAGCGGGGAAGAAATAAAAGGGCAACGCAGAGAAGGGAAAAGGAAAAGGAAAATCAGCACCCATAGTACTTTCTAGCCTTCCGCCTCACAAGCAAACATTAGCTTCAACCTTTCCCCCTCCTTTACTACATCACCCCGAGTCTCCTGGAACAGGCAGTCCCCTGCGGGTGCCCACCCTCGACATGTCCGCTCAAGTACGTACCGCAGATGCCCTTAGTGGTGGCCTATCACTCCCACCTCAGCTAAAGGTTACGCGAGAAAAGTGATCGCTAATGAAACCCCAACGACTGCCAGAATCTTTCCTTCGTCCTTGAAGGAGTCCATCGAGTCAAATTCGAAGATCGGCCGGTTCCCGATATCAATGATCCCCATGATGTCCTTGTGAACGTTCGGTTCACTGGTATATGCGGTAGTGATGTACGTGTCACCGACCCTGTGAAACAAGACCAAAGGCCTACCCGACTGACATCTCGATTCTTTTCCTGCTCAAGGTTCATTATTGGGAGCATGGGTCCATTGGGCAATTTGTCGTGAAGGAACCTATGGTCTTGGGGCACGAGTCGTCCGGAGTCATCGCCAAGGTAGGCTCTGCAGTTACTAGTCTAAAGGTAGGCGATTGCGTTGCCATGGAACCTGGGATCCCATGTCGCCGGTGCGAGCCTTGCAAAGCGGGGAAGTATAACCTCTGTGAGAAAATGGCATTCGCGGCAACCCCTCCGTACGATGGCACCTTGGCCAAGTATTACGTCCTGCCCGAAGATTTCTGCTATAAGGTCCCTGAAAGTATCACCTTACAGGAGGCCGCAGTTATGGAGCCTCTTGGCGTCGCCGTTCACATAGTCAAACAAGCAGGCGTCAGACCAGGCCAATCAGTGGTAGTGTTTGGAGCCGGCCCCGTTGGACTTCTGTGCTGTGCCGTGGCGAAGGCTTACGGCGCGTCCAAAATTATAGCGGTGGATATTCAGAGGGGTAGGCTAGAGTTTGCCAAAAAATATGCGGCAACTGCCACATTCGAGCCAGCCAAAGCGACCCCGTCGGTTAATGCTCAACAGATGATAGAGGAAAATGACTTGGGTTCGGGCGCTGACGTCGCCATTGACGCATCAGGAGCGGAGCCCTCGGTCCACACAGGTATACATGTGCTCCGTGCTGGTGGTACATATGTTCAAGGTGGTATGGGTAGGAGCGAGATCGCCTTTCCGATTATGGCAGCTTGCACGAAAGAATTGAACGTCAAGGGCAGCTTCCGCTATGGCAGTGGTGACTATAAGCTCGCAGTCTCCCTGGTAGCGTCTGGCAAAGTAAACGTGAAGGAACTGATCACTGGAATCGTCAAATTTGAAGACGCTGAGAGTGCATTCAAAGAGGTTAAATCTGGGAAGGGCATCAAGACGCTCATCGCTGGCGTCGACTCATGAAGATCTTTCAGGCACATGTACTAGCAAATGCAGAAGCAGACTGCCAACATTCTCCATCGATACCTCCATTAATCTGCGCTCTTTGCTCCCGATTTCTGCTCTTTCCCTCGATATGATCTAAACACCCCCATCCGGTCATTTGTATAGTAGTAAAGCACAGGCTGGTGCGACCTCAGTCAAATCGGCGAGGTAGGCATGTAGAGAGGCAGAATCGGACTCGAATTTCATGCCATGCCCAGATTTGTTGTGCGCTTCAGATGATGCTTGACTTTGCCTTCAGAAGCTGGCACCTTTTCGGCCGATAGGGGCATAGACCATAGAAAGTGACTGATTGAGTTGAGAAATTCGCGAAGAAAGTGCGAGTGACGAGATGAGGTTCTAGAACTCATAATATTCGCTTATTTAAACATGGCATTCACAGTGATTGATCATCGGGGGTATCGTGCTGCACGACGCAAGTCCACACTAGCTTTGAATCCTGAAGGAAGCCACATGGAGATGACCCAGGGAATGTCAGAGTGCGTTGCCACTCGGCAACTTAATAACTGACAATCCGTTCTATTTATAAAGTCAAGGATATGGCGGCGGGCTCAGACAACTCATAAGGCTGAAAGCAGAACGGCTAAAGTCGGGTATAGTTGATCGAAGGAAAGGAAGGCAAGGGAGTCGCGAAGAACGAAGCTGCTACTCAGTATATAGCCAAGTTCACGGAAATTAGCAGCAGCCGCTACCTCTCCTTTGGTGCGAGTCACTCAACCGAAAGACATCCTCCCACTCTCTCATACCAGCTTTCCAGTTATTATTGGTGTTTTTTTTTGGATGTCTGCGATGCAGTTGGACGGCACCGTCATCAAGCGACATGCGACTTCGAATGCTGGAACCATCACTCGTGCCATGGCCGTAGAGACCGCCATCGCCATATTGGATCCCGCTTTGTGGATCGTCTGGGTCGATTTCGCCCAATTCAATTTTTGTGAGGATTATCCGGGCCAGCCGGTTGAATAGTTCTTCTACTCCCTCGCCCGTGAGGGCTGAAACTTCGACGGCAACCGGGATGTTAGACTTAGCAGCCCAGCGTGACGTTTCTTCGGCGCTAACTTCACGACCATGGAGTGCATGCGTGGCTGTCATTCTTGTTGTTGTGTCGAAATTCGTGGTTGAACGAACAGAGCCGCCGCTTGAGCCAAATGGAAAAGACCGTTTGCTGGATGTACTAGACGGTGTAGGAGGAGGCCGTATAGTGTCATCAAGGATATCGCCGGGCGGCAAGACGTCGGAGGCAAGATCTGACTTATTACCAGCCAGTAGGACGCTGAGGTTGGGTGAAGCTAGAGCACGCGCATCCATAAGGAATGTGGGGAGAGAGGCAAAGGATGCATGGGACGTTATATCATAGACGAGAATGGCACCTGCAGCCCCTCGATAATATGACCTAGAAACGGATCGAAACCTCTCAGTCCCAGCAGTATCCCATAGCTGCAACTTGATCCTTGTTCGCCGGGGCCCGGTGCCCAACTTGACGATCTTCGAGGAAAACTCGACACCGATTGTTTGCGATGACAGCACTCTCCCTGCAAACAGACGGCATATCAGCGAGCGGGCCATCCAGCTGGACACAGGCAGGAAGGCATAGGTGTGTTTGGGGGGTGGATGGGGGATCGGAAACCATACATTCGCTTTTCACAAACCGGTGTAATACGCAAGACCTGCAGTTGTAGGAAGATCAGTAACTGATGAAGCCTGGGGAAGAGCGAAGGATCATCACTTAGAGTACTTACTTTCCCGCCCCGCTCGGCCCCAGGAGAATGACCTTGGCCAGATAGTCGTACATGCTCTCGAGCTCCTACCAGGTATTAGAAGCAGCCGGGCAGAGGAGCATTGTACCCGGCGCACCGATGGCCGAGCGTAATCAACACAATAGAACCGCGTCCATACATACCTGATTCCTTTCAGGAAGAGACGAAGTCGAGGAGGCATTTGAAAGGCTCCTTTGACGCACCATGGCGCCAGAAACAAGCCATTAAATGGCCCTCTGACTGGCAAAAAGAGTGAGAGGATGAGAGGATGTGGAGGGGAAGGGAAGGGGGTTACGGCCGACTAGGTGGTACCTTGGTACGAAGTAGTGGTTCAAGTCTTATCGGACTAAAATAGACTATTGACACTCCGGCTCCTGCCACACCCACCGGCATGGCCTTCATCAGTCCAACATCCCGTCTCCAAATATTATCGTATTCCTTGTTCTCACCGCCTCGTCCGACTACAGCTAGCGATATCACTTTCTTAGGCCGATCGTGCCAGGATACTCGGTGGCAACCATAACTGAGTCCATCCTTCTCTACGTACATAGCGCCCCGTTGAAGAGTGCCCCAGGCCCCCTAATTGAAACAAACCGAACGCTTCTTCTACTGCGACGAGTGGCGGACAGGCTAACCTCCGGGTCTATGAAACCATGAACAGCTGCATCGACGGCTTAGGGGATAGGCGAGGCAGTGGCTGAAATCGCAATTGATCACCCGTCGTCATACAGATTGCAGTTTACCCGGTTGTCACATTATCAGTGATGCCTCTGACACATGTGAACAATGGCTGTCCATCCCTGACAACATGACCTACTCATTTCATGACTGCACCAACAGCACGACACTGTAGAGGGCGGAGCTTGGGCCCTCATGGCAGAGGCAGAAAGGTTCGATACCGATAGAGTAGAGTGTTGCCTGGATATTTTAACTTTTGGTAGGCTCGAGATGGTATCTTCTATGGGAGTAGATATTTTTGCCTGCATAGTAGGGAATCCCGGCGCTCTGGCGATTGAAGGGGTGTCGAGCGGCGATAGTCTCGTATACACTTCCGATGGCATATCATGCCAGTGGCTGCAGTGGCAGCAGATGACAAAGCGCATGTCAATTGAACTGTCAGCTTGTACGTTCCTCATGGCCACCATGCGTCCGTTGGTTAGTTTTTGCGTGTCAGAGACTGCAACTGCAGCGCTTGGAGTTCCCAGACCGCACAACACATCACCATCAGTAATATCAACACCGTTCGAGATAGTGTCATTGTCTGGGCACTTGACCGGAAGAACATTATCATGTTGAGGGAGCAAAATAGGCGAGCAAGCTTCATCTGCCGTGTCATATTCTTCTGATTGTGGCTCCTCGGAGGTGGCAGCTAATGATGAGCTGGATTCACTCGGTTGTGAAATCTTGCTCTTGAAGGGTATATGACATGCTTCGAGTCTTTCTAGTTGAGACGCTCCTTGAGAGCCACGGGGAAAGATTTCTTGACATGCATGGATCCTGTCATGCAGTCGGGGATCTTGGAATTCCAGGTTCCCGCCCCGTTTTGCATGCTTTGCCTTATGGCTGCCTAGGTCAACTGAGCTGTTTCTTGTTGTGCCATACAACCAGGGAGACGACCTCCTGATTGGTGATCGCTCCTGTGACTCCCGAATGATACTACTGATAAGCGGGTCATGAACGCCTGCGCCTCGTTTAACGTCCCTTGATAGAGGCCTCTGAGCCGATGCCGAGGATCGAGTCTCTTCGGCGTCACCGCAGGCCTGCAATTTTAGCATCTTTGTAGCCATTTTAGAATGGAGAAACAAGCTGGAATTGCCATCCAGGGTTGAGGACTCTGCAAGGGGAGATGGTATGTACGCCTTATTGTGTCTTTGATGATAGCGATCTGCAGAGAGTTTGTTCGATGGAGCCTTCGATAACTCTCCTTGTAAAACAATTGAAGGCTGATCTGGTGAGATCACCGTAGGTGGTGCAAGATCAGATGCAACCTGTGCTTTCCAGATACTTCTAGACTTTCTCTGGGGGTGGTTCTCCAGCTTGGTCGCCGGTTTCGTGAAAGGGATCGTCGATGAAAGATGATGACCATATGCATGCACAGCTTCAGATCCCCTTGCTTCAAGGTTGAGTGTTGCTGCAAATGACAAGCGGTCCAGATCTGCGGGTGGAGCTGACGAACTTGGGGTTCTCGCAGCTACCCTGTGAGTGCTGTCCTCGGTGTCTACCCGATAAGTTTGCCGAGGGCCCTGTTCATGCGACAAGCCTCTTTCCCGATGACACCGATGACCGCTAGCTTCATTTGTCTTTGACTCTATTTTGATTGTATCCGCCTCGACTGAAGGCCCACGTTGATGTGGAAGCAGCGCATTGTTAATGGCGAGCTCTTTAGATATCGTGGTGCCAAAACGCTCAGGTATTGCCAAAGGGACATGATGTCGAATTGATTGTGAAGTTAGGTTCGTACCTGACAATATTTCTCTGGCATCAAGTGGTGGAAATTTCGGAAGTTCTTTGTCGCTTTCATTTAGAGAACTCGATCGGGACCGAGAAGTGCGCTGTGAGATTGAAAATAAAGAAGAAAAACGGGTCGAGGAGCGAGATTCATCTGCACTCACACTTGATGCCCTACTTGAGCTTCTTATTGGTTGTTTCTTCGTTAACCGACGGGTTTCTTTCCTATGCAGACCGGATTCTTGGTCAGATTCGGCTCTTTCAAGCTTCAGGAGCCTTTTCTCGAGCTCCACCCTTTCTGCTTCTAGGCGCCTTGTAGCCCGCCTTTCATTCTTCTGCACCGCTTTATTAATCCAGAAAGGCGAGTCAAATGGCGCTTGCTCGTGGGTAGAATTGACCACAAGAGAATGGTCGGATATTTGTGATGTTCCCAGGCTAACAGAGTATGTTGGCGAGTTCTTGGATCTGCCTTTGTTGAGGACTGAAAGCTTTGAACCTTCGGATGCTTGTGGATCGGCATCATCGTTGGTGCTGATGGAGGACACCGACTGGCTTGTATAGTCAACTTTTTCAGCTCTGTCTCTGTGTTGTAATTTTCGTTGCTCTTGCTGATGGCTTCTTGCGACTCCGGTTTCCAACGGGCCTGAGAATTGGCTACTTTTATCCTGCTTCAGGGCATTAACAAGTACGTCTTCTAGAGAGACAGAGGAAGAGGAACCGTTTGAGACAGAAAGCACTTACATTAACAAGCTTATCCAGATGAAAGACCCGCTGTAGGTGCTGAGAGAAAGATGACCTATGTGATTTTCTGTTCTGCCCACTGTGGTCCATCTTAATGGATGTGGAATATGTGTTGCGGTGTGTTTGTGCAGGTTATTCATGGAGATGTAGCACCATAGAGAAGTGGTTTCAACTTTGAAGATATTGTCGAGAAGAGTGGTCTGGTCTCGATCTGAAGAAACCAGCGCAGCGCATGCGCTGTGTAACAAAGGGACTAATCTGCCACCAAAGATCGGATTTCAGGGGGGAGGAGGCACTTTCTCATGCGTCTCGGGAGCTTTGCTAGGGCATAGGTAGGCCACGGACGAAAAGGAGTTATAGATAGATACAGAAAACCCAAGAGAGCCAGAGACGAGAGAAACGGCAAGGGGCCATTGTTGTGGCAATTGGGTTCGGTCGCCTTTACGACTGAACTCTGGGCGGGCAGTAGGCCAAGCGTAAGCAAATCAAACATGAATGGGCTCACTTGTTTTGGACCCTCAGCTGATGCTGCAGCTGTTCAGTTAGGTACAAACAGTCGGACTCGGTTGCAGTGGGGTTGGGCATTACCGACCTCATGTCTCTTTTAAGCGAGGAACTGAAACCACAGCAATAATGATCGTAATACAAGGATCTCCCTCGCTTCCAGTTGTATGGTCCTCTTCTTCCATCTAATGAGCCTGGCATCGCATCTCCCTAGTCCGGGTCTGAGTACTTGGATAGTACTTCGTACCTATCTATCTATCCTTTGAAGGCCCTGGTACTCCGTACTACTTCGTCCAATGAGAAACCTACCCCACAAAAACAATGTGGCTCCACGGGGTTAGAAGTCTATCTACTAGCTACTAACTAGTTAGTATGTAGTTACTAGCTTCCATTACTTAAGCAGTCTATGTATATATGTGCACACGCACAAACTTGAACAAGCACCTTAGGGAAGTCATGTTTCGCTTCCTTGAGATGTATGTCTATGCCCTTCAGAATTGACCGCCGTATGATAACAATAATCACCATTCCTATTCAGTATCGCAATTTATGATATACAGTGTCCAAGGACGATCTAGGTGACCTTCATAATTTCATGAGTACCTCCAACTCTTCTTCTTGATGTGACTCCAGGCTTAATTTTATTGCGATGGCAGGCCAATCAGGAAACATAACTCGACAGGTACAGCCTACTAGTAATTATATAGCACACCAACCCCCACCGTACTCTGTCATTATGGCCACTCAAGACAGCACTTCGAGAACCCTTCCATACCTCAGTTGCAGGAGACTGTGCCCAATACAGCATTCCCGCCACCTCCAGTAGCTGGGCTTTTCTGCTCGAGTACTGGGAACGCCTCCTGCGGCGATGCGGAGCGTGCTCACAAATTCTGTGAAGAATTCCCTCTATATCGCCCCGTCAAACCATTTGATGCTATGTACAGCTCTGTACAGAGATATGATTTGTGTCCTTCACGCTCACCAGAGTTTTGCGGGAACATATCTGTGGTTGATCAGGGGCGTTGGAGAGGGTCTACAACTAACGGAAACGGTGATTGTCTTCTAACGACGAACCTGCCGCTCTATTTCTCCATGAAAGATTCTCCATTCCTTACAAAGACAAGCAAGACAATTTACTTCGAAGTTAGACTAATCGACATCCGTGATGGTCCTGCAACACAGTCCACCGATGACAGCGGGTTTTCTGTCGGATTCGTGGCACAGCCGTACCCCACCTGGAGATTTCCAGGGTGGGAAAGGGGAAGTCTTGGTGTATTCTCCGATGATGGATGCCGCTTCGTGAACGATTCTTGGGGCGGGAAGAGCTTCACGAGCAAGTTTACGATAGGAGAGACTGTTGGCTTAGGGATGACATTCCGCCTCCCAATGAAAGCGCCCTCGACCCCAGCAAATGAAGACGAGAAGGTCAATGTTGAAGTCTTCTTTACCCGCAATAGTCGAAAACTAGGGGCTTGGAACCTCTATGAGGAGTTGGATGTAGTGTCTGGGGGGTTGAAGGGCTGGGAGGGGATTTTGATTTGTATGGAGCTCTCGGACTTTTTGGGGGCGTGGACTTTGAGGTCTTGTTTGATCCTGCGGTCTGGCTATGGACCCCTCAGGACCGATTCTAGAAGTCTTCTAGTTCTACTATTCCGCGCATTGCTCCTGTAAATATATATCATCCACAAGGTTGCTGGCGCAGTGACATATTTTGGGGCTTTGAGCAAAAGTTCACCAAGACGAGGAATCATGGTTCCATAGAGACGACTAAGCATAGATGGCACTGCGTATACAGTGCCTGGCTATTTGGCTAACAGAATTTTCGGGATGATATCAAAACACCAACCCGTTATAACGGTTAACTGAATGAGAGATGTCGGGGGAGGGGGAAGCGGATGATGGACGGGCAGCTGAAGATGCGAAGTGATGCCATGAGTATGTAATATATGTAATATGCCTAATCCACTGGCCTACCTAAAGGCTAGAGTACACATGCTGCGATTGAGACATTCTAGAAAGTTACATGCGAGATAAGCCGGGGTGTACCTTGTTAATGCACACACATTAGTGCATCGGGGGGAAGCATGACCTGCATTTCCGCCATCGTCTGATATGCTTATGTTGCCAACTGTCCTGGCTCAAGACAGGGGAGCCTCAAATTATCCGATTGATCACTAGTAGTACTCTGTACCGGAGGGGTTACTCTGCCTGGCCATGTGGGATGTTGACATCATACTTTAGCTGGACAGATACCACTACTGGTAGTACCTGGATATCAAGCTGATTTTCAACTTATCTAGGATGGGACACGGAAACATGCCTGATCATAATCAAGGGTATATTCAGGGGTGATATGAAAGGCATGCTTATAATGATACACAAGGTCGCTCTTATGGTCACCGCCCCGGGGTGGGGGAGGGCGAAGGTGGCGCATAGCCGTTTCAGTGGGTAGAACTGGTATCCATGACATATCTATTTACCCGTCATGATGATTGGGGGTCACCACAGTATCTTGTGATAGATAGGCCAGCCCAGCCACCGCATACTCGTCCACGGATATATTCCTTCCATGTCATTAGTTGTATAATAATGGACGGGCCAACTCATGTTCATCCCTCTCCAGGTCAATCTAAAATCAGGTAGATAGGAAGTCATATCAAGCGCTGGCTCTCCGGTGAATGTTGCATGTTGCATCTTGTAGGAGGTCGAATCTTCCTAGTGTTGTTGAAGGACTCTCCATAGTGTTCCCGAGAGGCTCCGGACCGGGTTATACAACACCAATTGCTCAACAACCTCTATTTGACTCGGTTTCAACGGCTGTGCAGTACTAGAGAAGCACCTACTAAATCCATAGTGGGGGAAATATGGCTTACCGCCAACCACAACAACAGCAATGGTGTTATTGTTTTATTACCGTTGCAAAGGACATTCTCCAGCGATTACGTTCTGCACCCCATGAAAAAGCCACACAGAGAGTACAGAGTAATGCTCCTGAATTTCCTGAGGCTTGATCAAGCCAAACAGCACTCGGGCTACTGACCATTCGGGTAGCGGATAGCGCACAGCCGGCCTAGCAGTCACTTAAACGAGGATAGAGCAGTGGAACCGAAGTAGATAAGTAGGCCATGCCTAGTTTAGCCGCTGATTGACTCGATTAGCTGCATAACAGGTGCAGTAGGCAACGTTGCCAACACCTTTTAGTGTGTTAAACAGATGGCCTGGCCCAGCTGGCCGAGCCTGCAGGCCCGCAGTCGAACCTCCCACGGGCCACCAGTCTAGGACTCCCGCATCCACTATCCAGCCTATGATATACACCGTTCCACAAATAACCGCCACTCCTGCCTACCTAGGCAGTCAGTCTGTTCTACTATGTACGGAGCACGGAGTAGTTAGGTTGCGACTGGCGACGGGATAATGCAATTACCTCTGTAGGTCGGAGTACTGAGTAGCAGAATGAGGTTCTAGGGTGAGGACTTGCTTATCCAGGTCAGGGCCGCCTAGATACCCTGTTCCACGGTCCTCTCTTGCCTTCGGTGGCTCGAATAATCTTTCTACCATCCCGTACGGAGTAGATGATTGTACGTACCTATCTATTCATCGAAATATCTGCGCTTTACTCCGTATATATACGCCCTTTGCCGCTTCTGCAGGTCTCGGATACACCTCCTTTCCTCCTGTTCCATGATCATCTTCAAAGGCGCACCCTCCGACCATCCTAACCTTACCTCGTCTTTGACTGGCGTGGTTGGGACTTTGGAATTCCAATTGCTCTTGGGTAAAGCGCGGGTTGTCTTGGGAGCACGGGACAGTCTCGGCCCAGTGTGTCGCCCGTCGCCGCCAAACACGTAGCGGGAGCGGCACAGCTCCTAAGCAGGTAAGTTGCCTGCTGCCCGGGTAAGCGAACCACAACGCTGCAGCGGAGATTTGCCCCATGCCGAGGCGCCCCAGTCCACGGACGGTATTGGAAAAGTTCCCACCAGTACAGAGGAAGCAGGCCGCGCTAAGTTGTGCACAGTCCGCGTCCACCTGCGACTAACGCTCCGAGAGAGGCAGCCCAAGGAGCTCGGAGTGGATACTCCACTTCGGTCTTCATGTCAGCATGTGCCGTAAGTTGTTGTAACCAGTTAATTACTGACCCTCTCTTGTGTAATTGAATACTGAGGTACATACGGTCGCGTTCGTATTCATGTACCATACTGCATTTGAGGCGCCAACTAATCTGTCATGTCTTTAACTCCTCCCTTCCGTACATTGACAGGTAACAAGCACTGTGGTCTAATTAAGAGAAGAGAGCGTTGTCCTTCCTGCTAGGGCTGTCAGAACAAATACTTGATTTCACACGCGGTTAACATTCCGATTGATGGCATGAGCTGCATGTCATCTCCGAATGTCTTGGTGGAAACAATAGAACGTGCACTAGTTTCTTACCGTATGAGTATCCATACATTTTTGGGAACCAAAACAAATTGAGTTGATATCAGCAAAAGTTTTGCCGGCGAGAAATCCAGACTTCAACATGGAGCATCGGTTGGACAGTGCACACAGTAAGAGCTTTGAACACTCAGTATGATTGTCATCATTATCATTATTACGATCACCATTCATTTTATTTCATTTCTATTATAGTCCACCTATTCCGTACACTTCGGTGGCCGGCCCGGGACCATGGGGATGTGGAAAAAAATATCGCACAACTCCATGCAGTGGTAAGCTGGTAGCTATGCTATGATACTATCTGCTCATTGTGTGGGGCTTGGGTCAGATCAATGGTATGATACCTTCCGAACCACCGTATGTATGACTCCATCTTGTCACTTAACTTGTCCTCCTACAGTATCTTAGGGCCGCAGGGAAATTCAACGGCTGCCAGCTCGTATGCTCTTATGAAATGGCCAGCGATGATACGAGAGACATGGATTAGTACAAGCTTAGGTTTTTAGTACAGTACAGTGTACGCTGCACAGCACTAGAGACAAGAAGCACTAAGGCCCATACTACCTTAGCACTTAAGTAGTATCTATCTACCAGTCCTGCTCCGAATGCTCCTTGATGGATCCTCGGTCATTCCCGGGTGAGAGTGGAGAGCTCGGCGGAGGCAAGTCATGTCCGTGCAGCCGAAATAGGTACGCGTCTGTTTCAGCTACCCAGAAGATAGTTGTGCATGCGTGGCTGCCATTTCAGTAGCTAGGTTATTCCCAATTACGGCAACCATGCGAAGAAAGAACGCCTGTTACTCTGTAGAGATGCTAGAATATACGGACCAAATCAAAGTAGGGGGGAAACACAATGCAACGTCACCCGGTTTACACGGCAAGGGCTTACTTAAAGTGATCAATGGATGGAGACGGAGCTATTCCGTGTAATGTATCTAAAGGGCTTGAAAGACCTGAGTATCCTCTTTAATAAAGCTATCACTTGTAGAGGGATCATCAGTGAAGTGTAGAGGTCAATAAAGGCATCGCGTTCCTTATGAAGCTCCAAGACCGTTACGCCAGCGACCCTTGATGCCTATGAATGACATTGCACACCCCATGCAAGAGACACACGCCGCAGGTCTCCCGTCATACCTACACCCCCATACATGCCTGTTGTGGTGTGTTCAATAACTCCTGTTAGCTGCTTATTAGCTATGTGTTCATTTAGCTCTAAATCAGCCTTCGATCTAGTCCGGACGGTAGGGTGGAGGCGCCCCGGCCTAGCCTTGGGGCACATAGCCGTTTAAGGTGACTTGCAGGAGGGTTGATTATCATCTGCAGCCACTAAGGCTGGCGGGCTATCTGTGCCAATAAGTACGAAGGAGTAGCCGGTATGATGTACGGCTGTGCTTCCATCAGCACGCGTCCTAGATGCCAAGACAACGTCGACATACAACCATGCGAGTCAAGTCTTTATTGGGAAATAGAGCTCGGGCCGCACGTTCATTATCACTAGCGATGCTAATCGTATGTGGAGAAATTATCTCTATCCAGTATCCGCGGCTTCGAAGAGATTACGACGGTCCTGTGGGTGATTGGTTGAGGGCCCCGACAGCTACGCTGGGTACCTTACTACCCTGAGCCACCTACTAAGCTATCTAGTAATGAACAAGTACTATTAGGTCGTCTTCACCTTACACTCGTAGGCCTAGGGATGCTCTACGACCATGCACGCAAGGAAAGAGAGTTGGTAGGATTACGGAAGCACCTATCTTTCACGGTCTGCTCTGCATCGCTACGGAGTTTAGTTTGATAACCAATAATGGAGATTTTTTGTGTACTTCGATAGCATCATAATAGTACTCCGTAGTCTGTAGTTGATTGCTAGCAAGCGAGACATTTAGCCCCATTGATTCCCGAGATCTACTAAGCAAGCCACAAGTCCGCATATCAGACTGCGTGTCTACCGACGGGGAAGGGTCGTTTGTCCGAAGAAACGCATAAATACGAATCTAGCTAAAGCTCCAAGGCTTTTGTGAGTCAAGGATTATTCTTCTTGTAATCCTAGGAGCACACGGACAGCAAAAAGACGGGGAAGACGAAGACGAAGAGAAAGAATGTGATTTAATTTTATAGCACATGACCATGACTCATGAGAACCATCACAGATTACGAAGTATACTTGCTGCGTACAGATATTTCCGGCGGTGTCTAGCCTATAACCTGAAAGCTATCCACCCTCTGATTAAATGCGTAGGAGACCTTTGTCTCGGACTAACTTTCAGCTGATGAATGCATATTGCATGTTCTCGGAGCCGACCATGTTACGGGCCATGGCATTATTAGGGGGAGATAGTGGTCTGTCTGGGGAATGGTCTCGACTTCGTATTACCTCCAGCCTATGGCAGCATTGCTGTTCCCCCCACCCAAGCTTCGTGATCCAATTTTTACTTAGCGGCTGACTGGTTGTTGATTGTGCGAGGCAGCGAGCGCAGGTGGACTTTAATAAGACGGGGTTGGGAGATCGCCGCTAGGATCACCGTTAACCTGAACGTTTTTGGTTGGAAGCCAATGAGTATTAGGAACTTGGACTGGCTGTATCCCCAACACTAGTACGTATCTTGAGGTACTCCCTACTCCGTAGTACTCCTCAGTGTAATTGCCTTTCTCCCTTCTTATTACATGCCTACGTCTTTTGATCATTTTTTTGGCCAAAATTTCTCGGCTGGAAATCAAGCCTACTGCGGTATATACTTTACTGTCTGTAGCTTGGTTCGTATGTTGCAGCCGGAGGAAGGAGGGGAGGGAGGGGCGGGCGTGACAACCTTCAACAAAAATTGTAGCCTAGTGTGCAGTAGCTGGAATTGCTTAGCGAGGCACGCAATTCTGTCCGGTGTATTTTATATTTATAACAAGACCATTACCGTTTCTTCATATCCAGACAGGTTGCATTCATCTAGCAGCTAATATTCATGAAATGACATCCACTGTGCCTATCCTGCAGTTGTTGACTGAATACTAGAAATTTGTACATAGTAGATACTTGGAACCGAAAGGGTGAAGAAGTCACCGTGCATGGGAAGTGGTTAGGAGTGATTATCCGGGTCTTCGGACCATTTCCTTGATTAGGACCCCTCATGGGTTTCCTTTCTCCGATTACTTTCAATTGAAGAACCACATAACTTTATGGTATGCGATCTTTCCCGCCCTCCTTCCTTTGTATCGCCATATGATCACCTATGCAGTAGCTTATTATATTATGGTAATCTGTATGACCATCCTACCTTCAGTGTATTATATAAGACTTGCGAGGCTCAAAAAGCTGGTTCTGGTCAATACATTAAAAAACAAGTCCATGTGCTATAATCAAAATGAACGCTCCTTATTACTACAGGCGCTGCATCTAAATCCTATTGATAAGCTAAAATGGAAAGGCAAATCATGAGGTCTAGGCGGATGAGACAGGTTATAACATGTGAACTAACATGGTCTACTTTCTCATATTTTCCGCCCCTCCTGAAAGGCTTATTGTTCGTTCCCGCCCACATCCTTTTTGTTTTATTTCCTACCCCCCTTAATTCATTATATCCCGATCGGAGCTGCTTGTCTAGACTGATGGACTGCCATGCTCATTATATTAGTTCTAACCCATGCCATTCGATAGTATGCAGCGGCAATCTGCACCTGGATAGAATTAGAAACTGTGTGTCTGTACAGGGCCAGACACCTTGGTTAATGAGTTGAGTGAGTTATTATGTCGTCATTACTAGGTCTGGTTTGATATCATTCACGCCGTAGGCACAGCCAGAAAAAAATGCCATAGAATAATGAAGAATCAGGATTCTAGCAAGTTTTACATGTAAGGATGGCTCCGGGGACAATTGACAAGGCAACATTTCATAGTAAGATTGTGTTATCTGAAAGACGTTATAATACACATGGAAACAGTGAGGGAGATTTTTCTTGTCTCTGTTGGTTGATCATCCAGCCGACAAACGAACTCTGCCCCCCACCACCTATTACCAAGTATTATCTAGGTGGTTTGGTCTGTCGGCTCATCGGCGTCACTTGCCCATCGGGTTTGATGAGCCACCGATGATTTTATGCTGAATTTTACCCGTTCCTACTTCCTTTTATTTATTTATTATTTTCATTTTTAATAGTCTTTTTCTTTTTTGGCGCCCGCCCCCCTTCCTCCACCCTCCTTGATCCTTTGCGTACATACCTTTCTCTCTTTCTCCCAGTCACCATATACCAAAAAAAAAGAAAAAGGAATTACCGAGACAGAAGTATGGAGAATGTATCATTCTGTTGTAGGAGAGAGGGCGGCAAGAGGCATGATCAGGGATTTTGAGAAGGAGACATCGCTGGGCTTCATTCTGGTAATGGAGATAGGCGGCTAGTAATTAGTAGGCATCGGCCTACTCCATAGACATTTCCATGTTTAGGAATTGGGATGGTATCTACGGCGTTCCGGGATGGGTACGGAGTGGACTCAATAGGTACTAGCACTACTACGACGGACCGGTTAGTACGGAATCCCCCCCCCCCCCAAAAAGGCCCCAACACACTTAACCACTGCGAATTTCGGAGACATCCACTAACATGCTCTTAGCTCCTAACTTAGTGTTAGGGAATAATTCCACACACCATTATCAGTCCCCACTCTTCTGGCCCATGTCACTGCAGTGACTGCGCAGTAGCTGCATGGGCCGCCGCCAATCCTTTCTCCACCCACAGTATCCTCCATCAGTCCATCTAGATCCAGGGTCTCTGACGCACGAGGCAAAAATACACCTGCATGACACTCAAAATGACAAAGGAACTGGAGCCCACAAGTAACTTATTTATATTTCTTCCTAGGGATTGGTTCAAGCCAATGTCTGGATGCCGGACTTGAACATGTGCCTTCCCTGCCATTCCGTGCCATCGACTCCAACTGCAACAAATAAGAATCCCCAATGTTGCATGTCTGTCCATAGGCATTCACATCCTCTGCGAAGCCAATTGACCTAAAAGCTGGTCTTTTTTGTTTCCCAGAACTCTTTGACGACGTCCTGGGCAAAGTTTCCACCCAGACATTCGTTTACCTTGTACTCTCTTTTCTTTGCTTTGCCCTCGTCCTCTCTGGTCATACTGGAAGACCCTCTACGTATTCTCTGTCTCCCGTCTTCGCAAATTGCTCCCCATTGACACCTTTATCATTTGCGCAAAGCCAGAGCTCAACGGCTTCGATCTTATCTGCTTCCATCGTCTTTGGCGAGAACGGCGTACACCCTCGGTTGCGACTTCCTTGCTGAGTCCAGCGTCGGAGAAAGACCGGGATAACAACTGCACCTGAAGTGAACCTTATAAAATCTAAAACCATCAGTAGCTTGAAAGGAAAGCTTTAAGCTTTCCTACCCACCTCGGCCATGGAGTTTCCATTCATGCGAGCCTTTATTGCCCTATTGTTAGTGTTCTTCCAGGTTTGACCTGAGGCTTACTTCCAAAGAATATCCTAGACTGACGTTTTCGTTCTACAGTTTATATCGCTACTTTCGCCTTGTTGTGAACCTTGTTTCCTTCTGGACATTTAAACCAATTCTTCCGCCAGAGAATCCGAAATTAACTGCCCAGGATGTGACGGTAATCTTACCAACCTTGGAAGGATGCGGCGATGAACTCGTGGAAACCATAAGAACGATTCTCGACACGCAACCATATGAGCTCCTCTTGGTCACTATCGAGGCAAATCGGAAAAAGGCAGAGAATATGTTGAGCTTGATGCCAGCTTCGAAGTCGAGAATCCGCTTGTTCACTGTCACCCACCCAAACAAGCGTCGACAGATGACTAGGGCGATCCCAGAAGTCCGGACTGCTATCACGGTATTTGCAGATGACGATGTGAGTTGGCCACGGACAGTTCTTCCTTGGATCTTAGCGCCTTTCGAGAAGGACGAGCGATATGGTGGTGTGGTTACTTGTCAGCGTCTGCGACGAGCTGTTTCCCCATCATTCTCCCAGCGCATATGGGGTTTCCTGGGCGCTCTTTACCTGGAGCGAAGAAATTTCGACTGCGCAGCCACAACACATATTGATGGTGGGCTTCCTTGCATGTCGGGCCGGACAGTTGCATACAGGACAGCGATCCTCCAAAATGAGGGCTTCACATATGCGTTCACCAATGAGGAATGGTGGTTCGGAAAGTATCAATTGAACGCGGATGATGACAATTTTATTACCCGCTGGATGGTGTCGCATGGCTGGGAGACATTCATGCAATATCATCCTGAGGCGGAGGTCTTGACAACATTGGAAGATAATCCTAAGTTTCTCAAGCAGTGCGCGCGCTGGTCTCGAAGCAACTGGAGGAGCAACCTTACGAGCATGTTCCACGAAAAACATATTTGGCAGTGAGTCCTCCCCTAAAAGTTTCTCTGGCAGACGCGCATATCACGCACAATCAATGAATGTTGATCTGCGATCATTGCACGCTCAATTATTCACTCCCCTTGGTTCAAACCTCGCCCAATTAACATCCGAATGTTTGACTTTTCATCCCTTTGCTTTGACTACCATCCTCTAGGATGGCACACAGGCATGATATGCTGGCCCTGTGTTGCTCGAGGCATGGCCGTTGTTAAACTGCTGGAACACCATTCTTTGGTATTGGAATGAGAGCCATTAGCCAACACTTACTGATGCATGTGCTTGTCTGATCTGCACTAACGTTTGGTATCTTATGTCACTAGCCGCCAACCTTGGAGCGCATATGCTGTGCACTTGACAACGCTCTCGCCTCCAGCCTTCCTCGGAGACTTGCTGCTCCTTATATTTTGCTATAAGGCCACGGTTTCTTGGGATCACAGTACCCACACGCTAGCTATGCAAGCACTCGGAGTATGGATGTTTATTAGCAAGTTCATCAAGCTTGTCGGACATTATATACGTTACCCAGTCGATGTCATACTTTTGCCGGTGTCTATCCTCTTCGGTTATTTCCACGGGGCTATTAAAATATACGCTGTTTTAACTCTTAATGTGGTAAGTTGCAGAACCCCAGCAATGTACAGCTTCATTGGTTGTTTCGTTTCTGCGGTGGGTGCATGCGCAAGTGCAGCCTCGTATCTACGGGTGGCGCTTGTAGCATGGGAGTGGGCTCTAACCCTTGGCCTGCTTGCTTCTCTCTCAACACCCAATTCCTCCCTCCTATGATGCATCTGCATTGGTCATGGGTTTCACCTCACCTTCGCACTTTGTGTATCCACCCGCGGACTTCCCCGTCTTGGTAATCCGATTGCTTTTTCTCTTTCGGTTTTTCTCGTGCCATCTGTTTTTTTTTCTCTCCCCTTTCTTTATTTCAGTCCATGATTCTTCATTTCCCTCCCTTTTCTCTTGCATTCCCTTGTCATCTTTGCTTTGCTGCCCGGGCATATTAGTGCCATAGCTATTTTCTGTTCCGTCCTCTTCTTTGGCTTCGGCTCATCCTCGTGCAACCTCCGATTTTGTTTCCTGAAAGCCCCGCTCCATGCTCTCGAGTTCAGTGTTGCTAACAAGCCAACTATTTCTATAGACGACATGGGGCAGCAGAGACGGTGCCGATGATTATGACGCGGAACGCATGAAGAAGCGAACGGACATGGACCGCATGAAACGGCCTTATTACCCGAGTTACATAATTCAATGACGCCTGCACGCGCGATAAGTGAGCGTGCCGAACGACTGTTTTGGCCTACTGCCAACCCTTTGCTCCGTTTGATATCTAGCTATTGTTCACATTTTCGGGGTGCTTTCACCAGCGCTGATTGCCTAAGTTCCCGTTGAGATCCCAGCGACGATATAGCAAAGTCGCCGAACCTCGATTGGTTTAATAAACAATTACGACGAAATGCCTTGATGACGCTAAACCTGGAACAAGGAGATGGAAGGACATCGAGACCTTCAGAGTTGATATACCAATTCCTTTGGGCGAAAATTTCATTCCCCGTACCCGAATATTTCCCCAGCATGGTTTCGTGGACTGGTTTCATCGATATCGTGCACAAGACCGTGCTAAAAAACGCCCTGTATTCTTTCCATGCTCGGATGGAAGTTTATATTTGAATATTTGCCCTCCCCCTTTCTTTCTTTCCCATCTCACAGCTTGATTGGTGAATTGTCCTTTTGAGTCAACGCAATACCGACACTACTTCCGAGCACGGTCAATCCTGAAAATTCGAGGGTTTTGTAAATTACAAAAGCGTGGGCGGACTCTTCTTTTCTAAATTACCCCCGGCTGTATGATCTTGTTGCATGTTGATTCCCTTGGTTCTTGGCTTTCCCTTTCCTTATTTCTAGACTCCCGTGTGGGAGGTCCCTCGAAGTGCTTCCATTTCCGTTCTCGAGTTGGGTCTGATAGCCTTTGTGCGATTTGGCCTTAATATTTAATCCATGATAGGCACCAAATAATTTGCTGCAACCGAGATGTGCTCTTGAATCCGATGCATTCTGATTTATGTGAGCTTTTGACGATTCTGAAATAACTTCATGAAGCAAACACCGGGCTAGCTGAATGCCGGTATATCTGTCTCAAGTAGCTTTCATTATTTGTGGGGTACTTTCAATCGAGAAATATCGATAAGCAGACATTCTGCTTAATTGAATGGTCATTCCAACATACTGTTGCTGTTATCTACCATTAGTTACGGAGTACTCATCCACCGCTGTAGTGGGACCAGCATACAGCATGTGGCGTTGTGGCGCCTGTGGCGCTCCAATCGGAGTCTCGATTCAGGTACTCCTCCGATTTACCAATCGGCCCGTCGTACGCGAGAAAAGAGATGGCAGAAGACGAAAGGGTTTGAAACTTCGACACAAGCTGTGCTTTTTATCAGAACCATCTGTTCGTACTTTCCCCTCGCAAACTTTCGTCTCAAGCATTTGCGTGAAAGGTGATGCCCACGTTTCATCGAGCCGTCGCGGTCATCTCGCGACAGGCACTCTCGAAAGGTGCGCAGCGTAGGGATGCTATACCACGCTCGATCAGTACAACAGCACTGAGGTCCGCCATTGCTCACCCCATTACCACTCATGGCCCGCCGCCGAACGCCCCTTTACCTGCGTCTGCTCATGCAGACATGCGACAGGGGGATGCGGGATCGTATCAGAAGAGCGAGACAGGTCCGCAGCCAGGGAAGACAACCACTGTGCTCAAGAAGCGTTTCTGGAAAAATGTTGATGTAAAGCGGAAGCCAGGTATTTCCTTTGGCCATTCGCGATCAGTTTACGTTGGGCAGTGGTGTTGACCTTCTCTCCATTTCTTTAGAAGGAGATTATCAAGTTTTGCTAGACACGCGCCCTATTCGGACGCCTTCCAAAGACATCCTCTACATACCATCAACCAAGCCTTACCTTGCCCATGCAATTGCGCTGGAGTGGGATGTCATGACCACCGCCCAGCAAGCGCTAAAGAATCACCTCATCCCCCTAACCTCTCTCGCCGCGCGTGCGGCAGATATTGCTAGAGAGGATGCTCGAGGCGAGACCACCACGAGGGATCAGATAGTGAAAACTGCGATGCGTTATTTGGATACGGACACCTTGCTTTGCTGGGTGCCGGAGCAAAATTCCTACGCTACTGGTGAGGTCGCTGGCGATGACGATGGCAAGAGACCGGAAAGCCTTCGAGAAGCCCAGATTAGGGTTGCTCAAGATACGATTGCCTTCCTGAGCACCAAAGTTTGGCCTGGCGTGGACATAAAACCCATCCTTGACAGCGATAGCATATTGCCAGTCTCCCAGCCCCAGGCTACGAAAGACATTATTGAACAGTGGATATCGAGTTTACAGGCCTACGATTTGGCCGGACTGGAGAGAGGAATACTGGCCGCCAAGAGCTTGTTGATCGCTGTCCGATTGGTCTCTGAATGGAGCGAGAGCTTCCGTCATGTGCAACGACCAGGGCACAGGAGATTCGGCATAGCGGAGGCTGCAGAAGCATCCAGTCTGGAAGTCAAATGGCAGACCGATATGTGGGGCGAGGTTGAGGACACCCACGATGTCGACAAGGAGGATCTGAAGCGACAACTGGGCAGCGTCATTGTGGTGGTGAGTGGAGAAACAAGCTGACGGTCCTGAGGTATCCATAATGTGTCCGGCTCTGAAGACCACTCGATTTGTATACACATATGTCCAAGTATTTCTCTCGTCCTTGGTAAACCTGCGAGAGAGATCAATGTACTATATTAAGTCTCGACTTTCGACTGTTGGGAAGGAAGACTCAGAGTAGACTCCCGTCTTGGCCAAGGCGCGGGAAGAGGAAGAACAACAACAATCATCGTTACCATCATCTCATCTCCTTTTATCAGTCCTTCCGGGTACTTAAATCAACCGGGTCTCCTCTCCGCCTTGGGCACCAATCAGCCCTGAGCTCCCAATTATCTTTCATTTCAACTTGTCTACGCACGGAATTCCCTTGGAAGCACTCGGCCTGAACCTCTTGTATGCTGGCGACCTGCGAGAGATGATGGAAAGGGGCGAAGGGTGAGTGAGCGCTGTGCCGGTTCGGTCCCGCGGGTCGTGATCGTTGAGCGACCGCGGACCAGACCCATCTTCCGTCTTCCCATCTATCCTTGATTTCCCTTTAGGATGGGATCCTGCACCAACGTCCGACCCAGAACCCCGCTCATTGCCCGACCTAGTACCGGGTATCCCCGCAGAGTGAGCGCCTCGCTGACATACTATATTGCTTCTGCTTAGGCATAAACGCTCTCGAAGTTCGCTGGCGCTGGCCATTCTGCACCGTGACAGATCCAAGGATAAGTGCGACGCTACTGGCTCAACCGATACCGCCACGCCATCCCCGATCTACAAAACCCCATCTTTATCCGGGGTCCCAACCTCCCGAAGCTCTAGCCGCCGAAGTACATGCCAGGAGCCGAATCTACCTTCGATGTCTGCCGAACCCTCCTTGGAGCCTGCTGACACTCATGGAAGCGGCGACAATATCGAGAAGCTACCGTCAATATCGCATGCAGAGACCAGTAGCATGTCGTTAGACCAGTCAGTGCGGACGTTTCGCCTTTTTGAGATCTTACGGAGCGGAGACACCACTGCGATTTCAAAAGCCACCAGGGATACTAGTGAACCGCAGGGAGCGGGCACCCTCTCTGGCACCACGATTCTCCATCTTGCGATCCAGTGTGCTGAACCGCAGGTTGTCGAGTTCGTCTTGTCCGCCGGCGAGAACCTCGATATCAATGCACGCGATCGAGAGGGCAACACACCACTTCATTTGGCCGCTCAGCTTGGACGGGGCCCTGTGATCCGTGACCTGCTGAATCGGCCCTCGCTCAATGATGCCATTGTCAACTATCGCGGTCAGACGGCTCTCGACGTCGCACGCACCCCGGAGATTTTCCAGCAACTCCAGCTTGCTCGATCACTGTTCATTGACGCCAAGACCCAAGAAATCCAGGCTCTCGTTTCTCAGGGAGAGTATGACAAGCTGGAGAAGGTACTTGAAGAGCCCCGCGTTGAAGGGATCATGGACGTCAACAGTCTTGACCTGGTAACGGATCCCGTTACTGCCCAGTCCGGGGGCACCTTATTGCACGAAGGGGCAAGGAAAAAAGATACACAGTTGATCCAAATCTTGCTGATGCATGGGGCGGATCCCTTCCGTCGTGACAAGAAAGGTAAGTTGCCGCAGGATGTTACTAAAGATGACAAGACCCGTGCGATTGTCAAGAAATCCCCGGCGGCGGTCATCGCACAGCGTGGTATTCAGGAAAAAGCCATTCTTGGCACCAACGCAGCCCAAGGTGTTCCTGGCCGCTCGAGCGGAGGTGAAGCGCCTTTCGCCGGCAAGGAAGCCCGGGAAATGAGGGGCTATCTGAAAAAATGGACGAATTATACGAGCGGCTATAAATTACGATGGTTTGTATTAGAAGACGGCGTGCTCAGCTATTACAAACACCAAGGTATGGATGCTGCACTGGATCCTTCAAAGTCAATCATTGACATTAGACTTGCAGATGATGCGGGCTCCGCCTGTCGAGGCGCGATCAACATGAAGATTGCTAGACTCAATATGGATGCCCAGGACAAGACCCGATTCGAGATACATGGAAAATCATCCGTCAAATATCACCTTAAGGCAAACCATGTTGTCGAGGCAAAGCGTTGGTTCTGGACTTTGAATAATGCCATCCAATGGGCCAAGGACGAAGCGAAAGAGGAAGAGAGGCGCCAGTCGAGGCATGCAGAAGTGCTTCGTCAAGCAAAAATCGACCAGGTGGAAGGACGACAGTCCGATACCCTCTCTGAATCTCCAAGCTCAGCCGTTGCGAAATCGAGCGCGAAGAGCCTTGCACCGCCGTCTACTAATGTACCGAGTACCAGCGGAACACGGCTCAGCACGTATGCGTCTCACACAACGTCAGGAAGCGCTCACGAAGATGAGGAAGGCTCAATGTACGGGTCATTGGAGCATGGCGCTCCGCCAAACGAAGTCAGCCGAGTGCTGAGCCATGTAACAACGGCTCCCGATATCGACGGCGATGACGATGAGGGCGATTATGCGTCCAGTCATGATGTGCCACCCACAGACAAAGATGCTTTGAATATAACTGCCCAGTCGACGAAACTTCAGCTTGACATCCTTGCCAATGTCGCATCTTCTCTCCAAGCACAAAAATCTAAGGATCCTGGCACATCACTCTCGGACCCGGCGGTTGATCAAGCTTTAGTCGCTTATCAGGCAGCCGTAAGCAGTTTGCAGGGCTTGGTGCAAAGTCTCCTAAAGATATCCAGGGACCGCGATGCATATTGGCAGTATCGCCTGAATAGAGAGGCATATCTACGCAAAATGTGGGAAGAAAGTATGGCAAGGATCGCTCAGGAACATGAAGAGCTCCAGTCACGGATGGGCGAGTCCGAGGAAAAACGTAAGCGTACCAAACGGGCGCTCAAGGAAGCGTTGGAGTCAACAGCTACGAACCGTGCAGTTAGAAAAGATTCGTTTCGCGGGCAGGTCGCCCGTGAAGAATTTGGCGATGCTGAAAGCGAAGCCATAGGGCTGGAGGCGGCAGGGGGCCCGTCACAGCTTGAAGAGCAGGATACAGGAAGCGCTCTCCGTCACAAGAAGTCGGTCATGTCCCATATCAGCAATCTCTGTGACTCGGAGACCGATGACGAAGACGAGTTCTTTGATGCCATTGATTCTGGGGAGATTGAGGTGGAGACACTTGTTGGCTCAGAAAATGATGGGCAAAAATCCCTGGAGGAGAGCAGTGAGCCCCGATTCGCGAAGAGATCGGAAATTGTCCCTTCGTTCAAGGGGTATGAAGAGCCTGTCCGGCATAGACTCAAGATGGACTACGATAATCGACCGAAAATTTCACTCTGGGTAGGTAGCCGCTCTGGTCTGTCGTCAAATTGGTGTTCTGCTGTGAGTCTCACACGTGCTTCCAGGGTATCTTGAAGTCGATGATCGGCAAAGATATGACGAAAATGACTCTCCCGGTTTCTTTCAATGAGCCGACATCCCTGCTTCAACGCGTGGCCGAGGACTTGGAGTACGCAGATCTACTTGACATCGCGGCCGACCGACCCGACTCGATGGAACGTTTGGTGTATGTCGCCGCGTATGCCGCGAGCGAATACGCATCAACGATAGGCCGTGTGGCTAAACCGTTCAATCCTCTTTTGGGGGAGACGTTCGAGTATGCGCGGCCAGATAAAGGTTATCGGTTCTTCGTCGAACAAGTCAGCCATCATCCACCAATCGGTGCTGCCTGGGCCGAGTCGGCGAAGTGGGACTACTATGTAAGGACTACATGCGTGCTTTCCCTCTCAAAGTATCCGATTCATACTGACCTATTCTCTTTCCGTAGGGCGAGTCCGCTCTCAAGTCCAAGTTCTACGGAAAATCCTTTGACATCAATCTCTTAGGGACTTGGTTTCTTAGGTTACGGCCTGCATCGGGGGGAGAGGAGCTGTATACCTGGAAGAAGGTTACATCATCCGTTATTGGCATCATCACCGGTAGTCCCACAGTTGACAATTATGGTTTGATGGAAATTAAGAACTGGACCACGGGCGAAATATGCTACTTGGATTTCAAACCCAGAGGTTGGAAGGCTGCGTCCGCATACCAGGTAAGTGGCAAGGTCGTGGACCGTGATGGGTCACCCAAGTGGAGTATTGGCGGCCGATGGAATGACAAGATCTACGCGCGCCATACCCCGGGGTTCGAGGCGCCAGTATCTGGTCAGGATCCCGAATCGGCCAAGACGATTTTGGTCTGGCAATGCCACGCTCGACCGAGCGGGATCCCATTTAACCTGACCCCTTTCGTCATCACGTTGAACGCCCTACCCAAGGGACTCAAGGAGTGTCTACCACCTACCGATACGCGGCTTCGGCCCGATCAACGTGCGATGGAAGATGGCGAGTATGATTTGGCTGCCAGTGAGAAACATCGGGTGGAGGAGAAGCAGCGTGCCAAGCGGAGGGAGAGGGAGACGAAAGGCGAGGAGTATCAGCCCAAATGGTTCAGCAGGGCCAAGTGCGCGGTCACTGGCGAGGAGTACTGGGCACACAATGGACGATACTGGAAGAGTCGGGAAAGCGGCGACTGGAGCGTTTGTGAAGATATCTTCTAGCTTGTGCTGCAATGCTTGGATTAGAACTTACTATGATTATCCTAGCTGTCAAAACTACTATGTATGTCTTTAATGATTGTGATTGTTAGTGGGAGAGAAGGCTTGGGCCGGCCGGGGCCCCATCACGTGCCGGCGGGCGAAAAGAGCCGCCCGCCGCGTGGAACAAGCCACTCTCTCCTTCAAGGGTTCCCTACAGGCGTCGCGCTGCACCCACCATGCCCGGCGAATATACGTGTGGGCGCTGTCTGCAGGTGCTCCGGCGAAGGGCTGCTGCCCAGAACTCCGTGGCTCGCTGGCACCATGTCACTACTCCAAGGCGAGGGGGTTACGGCATTCCCGCTTCGTACGTACGGAGCTTGAGCTCGCGGAGCAGTGGTTCCTTTGAGCCCAAACCTCTGCGAGGACCAGTCAGACAGCCTGCCTTGTCCCCAATTCCGTCGACCTCCCCAATTGCGTCGCAGAATATCGGGTCGGTGGTGCAGAAGGCCACAAAGGCCACATCCAACGCCTCGCCGGAGGCGCGAGAGCTTTTGAAACCGAACAACCTGTTCCATTCTTTCTCTCAGTCCCCGGCAGATACAGTCCGACAACGTGCCGCGTTTATCAAGCAGAACGCCTTTTGCCCTCACCCCAGCCATCAACAGACCCGCTTACCTGTTTCCCCCAATGATTCAGAGTCGCGCAAGAGTCAGCTTAGCACGGAGAGTCTACCACCGGCTCACTCTCATTTTGAATGTCCCGACTGCGGAGTTCCTATATACTGCTCAGAGGGCCATTGGATGGATGATTTCGAGGCTCACTTGGAGGTTTGTGAGACCATCCGACAGATCAACGAAGACGACCATGATTTACACTCCGGTCGGTTCTTCCCGGAGTTCTCGTACCCCGGGCTGCAGGATGATAACTTTGTCATAAACATGACGAACTGGGACACATTCATGTACACGCGAGAATTCGAGGCGATCAATGATGATCGAAGCATGCGACAAGTGACTAGGATGCTCACCTACCCACTCACCATTGGCAGTGTCTTACATGAGCTGAGCCCTTACAATGTCCGAAAAGGAGGCAGACTTACCGTGGAGGGTCTTAAAAGTGTCAGCGGTAAATTGCAATCTTCCCTAGGTCTCCGTTGTTCGTGAACTGATCGGTCCATGTAGCGCTCCGGTACACACTGCACCCCCCAAAGACCGGAGAAGGCGTTGATATCCAAGGACTACGCCTCAAGGCTCCGCCTGTGCGGATATTCATCCTGGGCGCACGTGCCGAGTCATCCCTGCCGCGTGATGTTTGGCTTCAGCTTAGCTACATTTTCCCACGCTCCCTGATCCATCTGATCTTCATTGGACCCGAGAGTATGGCCAACCGAGATGCCGAATTCCCACTCCCCGAGCGCACGCCCGAGAATCCCTTCGGCGGCATTGTGGAGGACCGACTTGGAGGACAGTTCAAGATCACGACGTATGTTGACTACTTTCATACGATGTACAAAGCACAGTACTTCCAGCCTTTCGATCCTTATCTGGACTGCTTCATGCTCTTCCATCCGGGCCTTGGACATCCGGCCAGCTCCCACGAATGGGAGGAAACGCTGCCACAGCTTCTGGAGACTAAGGTGCCCATCATCACTACGGGTTATACACAGTGGGACATGGAGCGAGACATCAACTGGGTTCATGAGAAATGCGCTGGTGAATTCGACATTCTGCTGGAGCCTGGGGAGAATATCTTCCGCAGTTTACGCTGGGACCTCAATGATCTGGATCCGCATGACGTGTCCTGTGGTAACTGGGGTCTCTGGGCCTTCCGAGGAAAGAGGTACGAGGCGACCTTCAAAGATTCGTAGAGGTTCCTTGATGTAGCCGTTCTTTCCTCCCGTTCGTTCTCTTTCCTCTCTGTTCCATATCTTCCCTGTACATTATCCCCGCTATGTTTCATGTTTGGTCTTCGTCCGAATCAGATATCGGTGGCAAAGATGTCTTACCTGGCAGTCTTACCTCCGTCCACATTCAAATGTACATCTATTCCGTGTTATTGTAGCTGGTGCCTGCACTGAGCCGGTACTAGGAAGTCAGAGAAATCGCTTAGCAAGAGCCTATCCAACTAAGTCTTCCTTCACCTCGATCCAATGCTTTCTTACCACCAGAATCCCGCTCACTGAACCCGTTCCACTACTACAATGCCTCTTGGTAGAATTAAGCAATATCTAGCCCTAGCGATAGAGCAACCATGATATCTGTAATTAGGCGTAGGTCTCAGGGTTGTCTCCATCCATTAGCGGAGTTCTACGTTCAGTACATTGCGACCGACAGTGGCTGTGTAAAGCAGTCGTTGAAAGAGAGCAATAAGGGAAGATAGCTGGACCAGGGCTCAGACAGACCTTTGTGCATCCAACGGAAAGGAAAGAATGATGTAAAATGTGAATACCATTTGAGACCAAGCAAGGAGCCAAGGACACGGTCATAACACTTGCGTGCCCCTAACCTCTCAGATGAACATATGCAGGCCTGGAGAATGAAATAAGATAACAAGTGGAAACAAAAAGAGAAGGGGGAAAGTTGTCCGAAAGGAGAGCTCAAGGTCATAGTCAGCGGTACAATATGTATATGAACTTCTCTTCTCAGTGGGATTCGTTAGGGTTTCTTTCACATTGGCACATCACCCTCCGCCACCCAATTGACCCTGATAGCTGCGCATGCCCTCGTGGCATTTGCAGGGCATGACCATGGGGCAACGGTCCAATTGGCGAGTAACTTAGAGCAGGATGAAGCCTGCAACGGCCAGGACTCCGGCAGCCATACTGCCGGAGAGCCTGATGGCCGGAGCGGCGGCGCCCGAGTGGGTAGCAGAGGATGTAGCCGCCGTCGTGGTAGCCGACTCTGACTCCGATTTTGAGGTCGAGGTTGACTCGGCGTCCGTCGATGTTTTGGTTGTTGGCCGAGCCGAGGCCTTGGTGATGTACGATCTGGTAAAGGAAGAAGATGACTTGACCACGGAGGAGCTAGCGAACGAAGAGCTGGCGATAGCAGAGCTAGATGCGCGAGGGCTAGAGCTTGCGATATGGCTCGGCGATGCGAAGGAACTGGGATGAGAGTTTGCACTATGGCTGCCGATGACGACGACGCTGCTGCTGGCAGTGGGAAGGGGGTTGAAAGAGACAGGAGTCTGGCTTGGTGCCAACGGCGGGGACGAAGTATGTACGCTGGAGACAGACGCAGTCGTCGTGGGCGTGGCCTGCACCGCAGCAGAGGCGAACGGGGCGAAGGCCGCGCAGGTGACGAGAAGAGCTTTGGTGAGATACATCTTATCGGGCTTGGATATGTATAATTGTAATTGTATGCGTATCAGAGCGCTGGGGGTCAAGGTTGATGCGGGCACGAAGTAAGTGGCAGACACCGCTTTGGAAAGTCGAGATTGATGTGCCGGTAGCTGGTGATGCTGGCAGCCAATGTAAGATAATCGAAAGGAGATGAAAGAGCGAATGGAGCTGGAAAGAGTGACAGCTCTGGTGAGTGAGCGAGTGAGTTAGTGAAGGAGTGAAAAAGAAGCACGGTAGAGAGAAGGAGCGACAGCACAGCTGGGGAACTCCAAATTCCAAATGTACGGGGGGAAGAAAGAAGGCACGAGAAAAAGGGGAAGGAAAGAAGAGAAGGAGGAGGGGATGGATCTGACAGATGGATGAGTCTGACCGGGGAGGTTTCAGTCCACCTGAGGGCCCTGCCTGCCTGCTGCTCCACCGTCGACACGTCCAACGAGGCTCTGTTGGAAGTTGAAACACTGACGCTGACAGCTCGATGTCATGGCCCCCATGGGTATGACAGGTGGGCGGGTCTTAATCTTTAAGCTCGTCTCCTTGACCTTTTCCAGGTTCATCATCATCGATGGCATGACCTGCTATGCTAGAAGCCTCAAAAGACCCTTCCGTCATTCCATGAGCATGATCCGAAACCTGCGGGGGACGAGTCTAGTAGTACCCAGTTTCTATGAGGAATTAAGGATGAGGATGATGAATGCAGGCCCGCGGGTGGAGATGCCGTTCATTAATCTGCAACAGGTGGGGGCTAGCAAAATCATTCTAATCTTAGTTCTATCTTTCGCCGGGTCAGTACTGGTCTTCACCGCAAAAGCAAGGCCCAATTTTATAAATAGCAAGTTGACGCTGATCATGGCCAATGGGTACAGTTACCCCCTGTGACGCCCTCAAGCCCATCGAACCGGATCTATACAAATACATAGCAATAGCAATACTAGCTCGCACCTTCTTACATCCAGACAGTGGCAGCCACCACAGCAACCATCACCCAATACCCTTGGGCCGTGGAGCAGGTGGCAGCCGATGGGGACTCGACGGCAGTCGTTCCGGTTGGGCAGGGTTCCATTGATATAGATCGTTGCAGTGCCGTTTACGCCCACCACCCTGGTCATGCTCGTATTCAAGGGCTGACTGCCGTTGAAGACCGACTGATAGTAGGTGCTGTTGTCATTATCGTCACATCCACATTCCAGGTACTGTTGGCACGTACAGGCCATGGGTATCGACTCGTTTTGATGCGTGGTGTCATTGACATAGTGGTAGCCATGGCTGTAGGGGTAAACGTACATCCCATACGCCCAGATGCCCGGGTAGTAGAAGGGAATCGCAGCCGCCGGCAAATAGTAAGGCGTCACACCTGAAGGCGATCGTGCACCGGAGGTATAGGGAGTCCTGGCACCGCCGGCATAGTAATAGCCACCCCCATACACCGGCCGCGTTCCAGAGCCGCCACGGGACGAGCCCCCGACGTTGCTTGAGCTAGACGAGCCTTTAGTTTCGAATTCATCGGCCAGTACGGAGTAGATAGATAGCTTGGCTGGCATCACCCACCTGGTCCTCGAGTTACTCCCACCGCTACCACTCCGGCCACCACTGCCGCCACCACTACGCCCTCCCCCGCCGCCCCCGCCGCCTCCACGCCGTTTGGCTAGATCCGACAGGAGGTGCGAATCTGCAAGGAGAGATGCATCTCGGAAAGCAATCGGGATGCTGAGGGCTGTGGCTGAGATGGTGAGCAAAAGTACCAGCGCAGTGGCCCATAGTATCCTCATAATACTTGCCCAGGGAGCAGAAATGCCAGGGACCAAATTTGAAGGAATCTCGAGAGGTAAATCCCCGTTGTTGTACCACGTAAGCAAGGTGCTCGTGCTAGTCACACAGGCTGCAAGTTGAACTACCGCTGAAGATGCACTGCTCGAAATAAAAAACCGGATGCAAGGATATAGTGATGATTAGCGCGAGAGCAAGACCATCCACCGGTGTGATGAAAGAATAGCGATGAGCGGGCATCACAATACATATACCATGAAGAAAGTAGTAGCAGTACCAGGGAGCCGTTAGGGCGTCCCCAAAAGGATTAAGCTTCCGCCATGCATGCAGCAACTGGCCCAGATCCTATCCGTGACCACTACTCCGTACCACCCACGGGGTACTCCGTACGCTACGCACCATTGCAATATGGGAGGAAAGGTCACTGCCCCTCGGTGGCGATGCACGAGGATGGATCCAGTCAGTAGCAGCAAGCATCATCTTCTTTTGCTTCTTCCTCTTCCTCTTGCGATTCAATAAGTCTACACTTTCGACCTGTCTCAGGTCTAGCCTGGGCTAGACACGAGCAGTCATTCCCCCCTCCCCCCTCCCACCACTCTATTGCTCAAGTGTCACTCATCCAACAGTTGGCTTTACGGAATCATATGAAGCCGCTTATTTCTTATAGCTTCCAACCCGGTTTAGCTTTATGAGATACTACCGACTGCGCCTAGCCAAGCCTGGACCGCATAGCCTCCTCTAACAGTGTCTATCCCCTCCGTAACTGCAGCATTCACGGCTAGTGTGGTCTTACAAGGGGTCGGTACACCGGCTCCCACATCTGCACTCGAATCCACTCATCCAACTCATTGTCATCCGTGGGAATACCTTCCTCCTCAGCATATCCTTCCTCGACCGCAGTTTTGATAATGGCTTTGGCGATGTCCACGCTAAGCTCCCGTACATCTCCGACGTCAGGGAGCAGGGGTCCGTTGGGGTCCTGCAGTGCCGGCGATCGCGCTGCCAATGCTTTGACCGCGGCCACAAGCATCTTATTCGACAAAGTTCGTGTTCGCGATAGAACGGCTCCCAATCCGATTCCGGGGAAACAAGTGGAGTTGTTGCATTCCGCTACAACGGTAAAAGGGCAGGGCATTAGCTGAGGAGTTCCAACTTTCTCTTCGTTCTCTAACACTTTGCTTACCTATCTCATACTTCATCCCGTTGCGATCGACCGGGGGAAAGGGGCTTCCGGTGGCTATCAGAGCTCGCCCATCAGTCCATTGATTGATATCCTCGGGCTGTGCTTCGTGCAAACGGGTCGGGTTGCTGAGGGGAAATATGATCGGTTTTTCGACATGTTTGGCCATTTCCCGAATGACTTCTTCGGTGAAAGATTTGGGCTTGGTGGAGGTTCCAATCAAGGCATGAGGTTTCACCTTCTTCACCACAGAAAGCAGACCGGGCAGTCCTTCACCAGGCCACTCGTTGTCATCTCGCGCATATGGGGCCTGCGCTGGGGTCAACTGATCCCCAAGGGATTTGAGCAGAAGGCCCGGTTTATCGAGACACCTAGATCCCAGCAATAGCTTAGTAAGTGCAGAGTAGAGACGGAAGTTCACAAGCTGCTTGATGTTCATACCATATCTGCTTTGAGGCTTCTTCTTTGGATTTGTTCGTCTCAGTTGCGATAGTGTCGGCGAGCTGCTCCGCAATACCAGTGCCCGCTGATCCAGACCCGAAGATGACTACACGTACGTCTTCCAATTTGACATCACTCACATGGAAACCGGACAACAAGGCAGCCAGGGTAACACAGCCTGTACCTTGAATATCATCGTTAAAGCACGGGATATGCGGCTGGAAATTTTCCAAGATCCTCTTAGCGTTATGCAGGCCAAAGTCCTCACTAAATAGCGTCAGCCGGGTCCCAGCACGTAAAGATCGACGAGGTCCCGCAAGAGATTCCGATACTCACAAGTGTATGTATGCGCGTGGGAACATCTTTCGGGCGGTTGTTACAAACTTCTCCACGAACTGGTCATATTCTTTGCCTCTGACGCGCGGCTGTCGCAGGCCCAAATATAGCTCATCCTTTAGAAGCGATTCATTCTGCGATCAAGGTTAGCACGGGTCCGAAATAGTCGACAGTTGCCATACATCTGTTCCGCAGTCTAGCACCACGGGTAACTGTCTTGCTGGATGAATTCCGGCACACAGGGTCGTGAGTGCTAATTTGGCAACCGAGATCAAAATGGCGCCTACACCTTGATCCCCAATGCCTAGAATCTGCCGCTAGTTAGACAATACCTCTTTAAAATGTCTCCTGCAGGTAGTCTCAGTTTACCTCTTCGCCATCACTGACGACTATATAATCGACTTCTTCACCACCGCCGAAGTTGGACAAACACTCTTCAATCCTATCTTGGTCTCTGATGTTGAGGAAACAACCTTCTGGCTTCCGGAAAAGTCGGGAATAATTCTGTATCGCATCGCCTTCTGTAGGGGTGTATATGATGCTGAGCATCTCCTTGAGGTGTGTGTCAATCAGCTGTATCCGACGTCAGCAGACTGGCCATATCAAATCAGCGTCAGCGTCAGCGTCAGATATAAACATGTATGATACCTTATAATACAGAACCTCATTCTGTACCTTCATGCTAGCCATGAATGTGTTCTTAGCTAGGTCATTGTCTCGACTACTATATTGCTCGTATGCCCGCTGAACCTGTTCCTCTAGTGTCTGGATGTTGGGGGGCAGAAGGCCATGAAGCTTGAACGATCTGCGCTCTTCCTCCGTGAATGCAGAGCCTTTATTGAATTGGCTTGACTCCAGGACATCCCTCCCCTATATCATCGGTCAGCATATGAGCCGCCCCACGCACAAAGTCTTACAGGGGCCGGCATTACCTCGTACTGACACACCAGAGGTCCCGACGCAGCCCGGGGAAGGTGGCTAAATTTCGATGATCTCGACGAAGTAGACATTCTCGTGGCAGGCCTGTAAGACGTAAAGCGGTGTGATGCGAGGAGAGAAAGGGGCAGGTTCGATTGCCGTCTCAGGATAGACTGAGCCATTGAGGGGTAATTCTAGCTTTGAATTGGCTGATCCCGGGCTCCGGGCAATCCCTGGCAATAGACCGGACTTATATACTCGGGCTATTGCACAACCGGGCCTGGAAACCGGGACTGCAGGAAACCGGGAAGGCGAGAAGAACAACGTTCTGTAGGTAGGGGACTGAGGCACTCTGGTGGAGACTTACACAGTAGCTGATATGACGCTGATATGACGATGACGTAGATGGCCCGATTGCAAGCCAGCCCTGACAACGTCAAGGGGCCCCGTCTGCCTTATCTTCAGGGGAAATCGATGATATAATGGTTTCTACTGTGTACTTAGTAGTTCCAGCGTTGATGGTTAGATAATTGAGCTTTCCCGCTTGATTTGCAATGCATAGGCGCACCGTGCTAGGTGCAAAGGCATCTGCGCACCGCAGTCACGTCAGATAGAGAGGATGGCACAACCACATCTGGTGGTGATTTGAAGTCCCTCGCGCGCATTCACCATGGTTGCGAGCGGGCCATGTCAACTACTATGGTACTATGCTATGCAGGACCCAGTCGATCTACCATGCCACTCGAGCCAAGAACCGATCTACATAGTCGATGCAAGCAAGGACCATACATAGAGTAGTACATAGTACAACATCCGCATCCGCAGCCTTATCTTCTTTATCGTCCTCGTCCTGCTTTGATCACATGGCGATAAGAGATGGATGCTGACTCATTCACTAAGCGAGCGGAACAAAACCACTTGCTCACCGGCCCCTTTTTACTCTTTATTTATCGACCACCATCGCAGGCTCATCAGACATCAACAGCACCGGGTAGCATCATCCGGAGATCCTGATCATGATGCGATAGGACACCGCTTTTTGCTTCCCGACTCCCTGCGCATCTATCTATCTATCATCAGTCGAGCAGCCATGTTCGGCTGCATTTAGAATACTCGCTAGACACGAACGACCACCAATCCGAATGGCATCAGGTGTTCAATTCTCACATCGCAACTACACAATCCAGCTGTCTTAGGTCAATGGCTCTGTTCGGTCTCCGGACTGACGCAGGGTACACAACTGCCGCCACGGACTCTCCTCTTAGGAGAACAGTCATCGCATGTCACGTCTTGTGACTGTGGCCGACTGGAGCTGGATTGTCGGGGGCTCTTCGGAGTCCCCGTCTTGATTTCTTTCCATGTTGCTAGAGGAAATCTTAGGGCCTTCATAGTTCATGTTGCTCGCGTTTAATTTGCTACGAGAGCATGACTCCTTGCGCACCTACATACTAGATATCGACGGAGACATGGGTAGTATCGCCTGTCTGTGCCGGATCGTTCGCTATGTTATTTAGCTCTGAATTGATTGATTATTGCTCAGTGTGCACTTCCCGATATAATGTACCGTAGCTCCTGTTGGCTGGTCCAGTAACCCTGATCGAGCTGGAAGAAGCACCTTCCCACCTATAGTTTACTCGTTGCAATATCATCGTCAATGATCTTCACAACTACCTTCCCCCATGTTTCCCGCCCGCCCAGCGCCTGCAACGCGCGAGGCACGCTCTCCAAACCCACGAAGCTCTCATCCTTGAAGGCCGTACCCTTGAACTTGCCCTGCGCCACGATATCAAAGATTCCCTTCCAGACCGCCCGATCGGTTTCCTTTTCGAATCGAGCATACTGGCCCCAGTGCAACCCAACCAGACTCACATTCTTCAGCAGCACCCGGTTCAGCGCCACCTTCTCGATCTTACCCGCGGCAAACCCAATGACCAACAATCGTGCATTCCACGCCACGCATTTCAAACTAGGCTCGATCATGCCCACGGGGTCATACACAATGTCTACACCGGCTTTCCCATTCCCGGTCCGATATTGCGCACACAACCGCTTCACCTCTTCGGGCCAGCTCTTATCCCGATAATCGATGACGTGATCGGCTCCGAACTGGCGCGCGATCTGCCGCTTCCGCTCGGTACCTGCGGTCGCGATCACCGTCGCTCCTTTAGCTTTGGCAATTTGCACGGCGGCCAGCCCGACGCCACCAGCTGCAGCATGGACGAGGACCCAATCGCCTGGCTGCACGTTCGCTCGGTGCACGAGACCACCGTATGAGGTGGGAGCCGTGACAAAGAGACCCGCTGCATCTTCGAAGCTCCAGCCCGCTGGAACCGGGAGGAGGGTGTGCTCTTGAGCTAGAATGTGGGTGGCGTAGGCGCCTTGCGTAGCCCCGAAGACTCGATCCCCGACTTTATATCGCAATGAGGCCTGCGCTGTTGTTGGCACGGCCAGGATGGTCCCAGCGAACTCTACGCCCCCGATCCAGGGAAGGGGAGGCTGATGCTGGTATTTGCCTTGGATCTGCAGTAGGTCGAAGAAGTTGGTGCCTGCTGAGTGGATCTCAATCAGGTACTCGGTTGCAGATGGCGAGGGCGTGGGAAGCGTAGTGACTTGGAGATCCAGAGGTCCCTGGTCAATAGGAGTAAATCAATTGGTCTATGATCAGAAGAATGGAGATACCGTCTGCTAGTTACCTTGACATATTCCTTCACTTGGATGGCTCGCATGCTGAGGGATAATTTGAGGACCGCGGGACTTTGAAGCAGTCAAGCTGGACAGACACGATAGAAACCACGAGCAAGGTTGTACTTTGATCAAGTTGAGCCCGATGGGGGCGGCTGGTGGAGGGGAGAGCAAGCGGCCGGGGGAGGTGAGGTGAGCCGAGGTCCGCCGGCGGATAACCCCGAGGAAAAGCAAGTCCCTTGTAGATCTTTGGCCTACTCCGCTTCTTTGCGTGGGGAGCTCAGGTTTCGTAGGTTGAAATATGTATTATTGTAGATTTGATTTCGTACATGAAGACAGGAAGGCATTCGTATGCATCCACAATAGACACCTTGGACGTATGAGGGAACCAGTCCTTCAAGGTCCGATCGTCCTGTAGATCTAGACTATATATAATATCCCATGCAAACATCATTAACCCCATGCACACATAGACCGACAAACAACAGGTGTACATGCAATTCCAAACTCCTCGGTCCCAAACGTGGATATCATCAAAATCAAATACACTCCACTCCATGGTCCAGTACAACCAGCCGATACGCCAGGTATCCCATAATCCCAGGTCTGGTTTCCTTGGTGTACAAGATGTAATGTTCAATCACCCATTCCCTCGTCGGCATCCCATCAAGCGAGACGAGGCGGGTTAAGTAATCAGCAGATATCAGAGGAAATAGTACAAGTGGGAAGCATGAATCAACACAAAAAAAAGCGGAAGATGGTTGGATCGATCAATGCGAATCGAAGTCCAACATGAGAAATTAGTAGTGTCACAAGAAAGAAGGCTAAATGCTCCGTGCCATGCTTAAAAGTCGATGCTCTGGGGTCTGTGCACAAGGGGCTCAGGTCCAGGATAAGGGTACATGGGCGCACACATGGCAGGGTGTTGCCCATGCGGATAGAAGGACGGCGGAGACACCAACCCCATGGCAGGTTGGCCGGCCGACTTTGGCTGGAGTGAGGCCTTTCTCTCGAGCGGCCGGGGTTGTGGCCCCTTCTGTTCCAATCTCGGATGGCCGCCAGCGGCATCCTGGCCATATGGAGCAGACATGGCGCGTTTCCATGTTCCCTCGTGAAGATCAGCCATCTGCTGCCGCCCAATGCTGGAAGGCGGCGGTGTCTGGGCATGGGGAGACATCAAATGCATTGCGGGGTCGATAGGAGGACTCAGTGGTGCCGAAGTATAGAAAGGGCTGCCAGCCTCGAGAGGCATTGAGTACCACTGGGGAATAGACCACTGGATCGGCCCGGCTGTCGTCGCGGGTGTTTGCATGCAGTCCGTGGTGACGGCATAGGAATGATCATGGAATGGCGATGCCAAACTTGATGCCGAGTTGATCAACATGCTGTCCATCAAGGGCGACGTGTGTGGTGAGTCATACGAGTTGGAGCTAGGAAGAACCATCACGGAAGAGGCATGGGAAGGATCCCGCTGCTTATGCGACGGGCTGAGTGGGGATTGTTGTGCCATCATGGGAGCCCACACGTTCGAGATATGTTGCCCATCAAAGGACACTGTAGTAGGCATGCCATCCTGGCGGGTATAGGCATCATTGGCCATGTACCATTCCGGTTCGCTGATGGAAAGGTCTGATGCGACTGAGCGAAGAGGGGGGCGTGCTTTAGGGGAGACCGTGGAAGCCTGGTCCTTCGGGGATGCGTCTTCTTGGCTACTGTCATCCCCAGTGGCTTCCTGTTGGCTGTCGTCGGACTTCTTGCGGGTTTGGCGAGAGGGTTTGGTGACCCGCCACTTCTTCAGTCTGCTCCGCAACTGGGTTTCACTTGAGTCGGGTTAGTACGCTGACTGAAGCCCATGTACCGTTTCCCAGGCTTGGTCTTACCTAGGATTGAAATCATCAGAACGGATTTGCTTGATGACCTGCTTCAGAGGCCATTCTTCATCCTTGTACAATTTGGCAATCAGGGCCTTCTTCCTCTCCCACACATCGGATGGGATTGAATTCTTCATGTTCAAGTCACGTTTGAACGACTTCCTATTGATTGATAGGAAGGTTTCCTGACAAGAGGAGGTAGATGGAAAGAAAAGAAAATGTAGAGGTAGGGCCTCAAGACTCCAGAGTTCAAGGGCTGACTGCGCCTTAAATAGAGAGGACACTTGGGTGACTGTGAAGTGCTGATGATACACTGGGATGAAGAGGGAAGATCAGGGATCATATAGAAGGACGATCGGGGAGGATCTGAGATATATGTACTCCGTGCTCGGGGCCCAAGGAGGAGTAAAGGCCGTACCAGAGGTGGAGGGTCCGGAGCAAAGTACCCAATGGAGAGAATGGACCAGTAAAAGTCTCCAGGAACACACTAAGGTGGTGGGAGAGGAAGTACGGACCTAGGCAATGGGTGGATGGATCCACGCTGGAGAAAGACGCCATCGCCCGGTCTACGGCTACGACCACGGCTAAAACTCCATGAGGATTGAGGAAGGGGGGGGGCGGAGGAGGAGGAGGGAAGGAAGACTGAGGAGGGCGAGTGGAGCCTGGGAAAGAGTGGATATGGCTGTGGATGGTTGAATGGGCCGATGGGAGGGCGAAGAAAGAATAATGGGCAGAATGGGTTAGGAAAGGTACTCTACCAGTTAGTCCTCCGTACCAGACTCCCACTTACTCCAGGAGCGATCGAGGCGGACGCTCGTGCGCCCCCAGCAAGCAGGACGAACGAACGCATGGGAGATCGACGATGACCAGGGAACGGCATCGGCCATGGCTCTCCATTGGGCAAGTCCTGGGCGCTGGATACCCCTCAGCGGCGGTGATTGGCGCAGGGGCCAGTGGGCCTCCCCTTTCGGCCGGACCTTTTTAGCTGCTTCTGCTGGTGGTGGTACGTCCATTGTCTCGGGTCCTGTCATTCAGGTTTAATCCAGGAGCAGATTTTCCATGGTCGTGGGTTGGGCCCTGAAGTAAGCTTTTCCGTCGATCCCCGGTCATGAGTTGGAGAACCCAGTGAGCACACCGCAGCCACTGCCGGGGAGGACGGCGGAAAATGAATGGATGGCGGAGGGCTGGGAGGCAATTGGATGATGCTCTCGGTCGGGGAGGCAATGATCTCCTATCTCTAACCACTGGTACAGTCTGTACCACTCTCCGGCTGCCCTGGTCTCTCTACCTACAGACAGAGAGAGAGAGAAAGAAAGAGGGACTTATCTCCCAATCTCTCACCTCCCCGGCGACCCGTGGCGGCACTCATGGATCAGGTACCCAACCCGCTCCTGGATGCCTTTTCTCAGACACCTATCTTAGTACAATTTACAGTATCAATACTCCGTACTTGACTACTTATCAACCGGACCTGATGGGTCACTTTGTCTAATCGCGGGATCTTGTCGGTTGTCATCTGCTTTCTTTTTCTCTTTATGTCTTTCTGCTGCACTTGGGTCTTTTGGCCCCCTCTTCCGCCCCGTCTGCTGCGCAGGAGAATATTTTCATTGGGCTGCTTAGTTGGCATCCCGCCAATAGTGCCATTTGACTTATTCTACATCATCTTCCCCCTTGTTCATGTCAAACTGACGGCTCGCCTCCCCCTTGCGCTTTGCTTTTTTTCATTTCCCTTTTCTCTTTTTTTCACTATATTTTTTTTCGCTCGGCATTTTTATTTTTAATTCAATTAGTTTTACCTCTCCTCCGCTGCATTTTCCATTTGTCAATCATCCTAGGGACTCAACTCAGATCTAACCCTAAAAATGTACAATGGATGTGGCCAAAATTGGCATTCATAGCCCGATAAGGAAAACCCAATTTCCTGTGAGTAGGAGAACAACTGTAGGAGAAATTAATGGGGATTTAGATCGCAGACATTATGTCCACGTTCCAAACACAATCCAGACCGGGGTTGTAGGCATCTTGTTCGCCATCAAGGGCGATCCCTCTAGTCTCCTAGACAGCTTAGTAGTAGTGACCTCTGCCAGAGCCTTACCGTACCTAGTGCGCCGTACTTTAGTGGGCGACTTAGTGACCCTAAAGGCGGATCCCTCCCCCCCAGTAGGAGCCTAAACTCGGTCGAGAACTTGGCGCGTCCGTCGAACTGCCTGTTTCGGCAAGCAGATGAGTGTGGGAGGAGGCAACGGATCCGGAGGGGAAAATCAAATCCATTCCCCCTCCGTCTGCCCTAGAGTACTTTCACGCTCTAAAGTACATCCCTATTACCTACATGGGTGTAGCAGGTACTAAAGTCAAACGGAGTACGGAGTAGATGTAGATGGCTAGATGTAGATAGATGATATCCATCACAGGCCGGGCTTCTTAGCTCCTACCTAGTACATAGCACCGTCGATGAGATACGATGAGTGAGCTGCAATGCCATGCAATGCCATGCACTGTGATGCGACATTGGTACCTTGGTTCCCTCCTCCAGCACGAGCTGCCTGGCGTCTTCTCCGATCGTGCTGGTGAAACCTAGGCCATAGACCCCTTGACTCATTGGATCGGAAATTCCCTGGATTGATTTGCACCAGCCACGGTAGATGCTGGACGTGTCCCTGGAGGATCAAGCCAACCCACCCCGTACAACAATAGAGAATATCTACTAATTACATCGGATACGCCCGTGTGCAAAGACTACCTATGTAATGTAGTATGCACATGCGCATACTGTCGTAGGAAGTTCTCTCGCGGGAAGCTGATCGGTAAATACCAATCAATACCAAAACTGGCCGAATCGAGACGTCGAGTGTCTCTGGCCTCGGATTGCCTTCAATCTTCCACTTTCTCTTTCGAGTCTTTTTAACCCGGTTCTGTCGGCTATTATAATCTACCTTTTGCAGCAACGCAATCTTGAAGACGTTATCGATGGCACTCGATCTCCATCTGACGCACAGGACATGCTGGCACAATCGATCATTTCTGACAGGTATCTACATTGTATAGTCTTCGGAGACAAAGGAGGCGATGGTTGTGGCACCCCCCCCCCCCCCCCCCCAACCGTTCTTTGTCATATTGTGGTCCATCGTCGGAGCGATGGTTGTTCATAGGTTAAGAGATACTGCGGATGGGGCAGGCGCTGTGCGAAACCGGCAGCAGAATGTTTCTCCTCAGCCGTGAAGCAAGCAAGCAAGCAGAAGTACGGACGGCAGGAGGCAAGATGGGTTGAGACTCCCGGTGTGATCTTGCTTTTCCGCGTCTTCCATCCGGTGCGAGATTTTTTCTCGCAGGTGTGTTATTTTTACTTTTTTATTTTTCTTGCTCTTTATCTTTACCCCCTTTCTTTCTATGGTATCCTTGTATACGTAGTAGTATGTGGTAGTGGCTCTCCATCCCCGCGACTGCAGAGCTGAATGTCAGCAATTTTTCATGTGCATACAGCGAGGGATGGATCGATCTCGGCATTCACGATGTTTTTTTTTTCTCCAGGTGGAACAGATGTATGGACATACATTCGGACCGTACTAATGATTGATGATAATCTTACGGTCTTATTGACTTCCCACCCGTTGCCCGTGCAATGGAATTGTATATGCTATGCGCATCATCCGACACGAGCTGTAAATGCATTGTACATACTCCGCCGTAGTAGTAGTAGTAGTAGTAGTAGTATGTCCCACCGGACCCTGCCTGTAGATCCAAATTCAATTTGACGGCGCTTAAACCGGAATATCAAAGCCTGGCCAGGTAGACGCAGCTGAAGGTCTCCAAACAGACTCCGGCCGTTGGAAAACCCTTTTTATTTCATTTTTCAAAGATGTCATTGTTTCGAGATCCGGCTCATCACCTCCCTTCGGATAAAAGGGCGCCCTCAGCGGCAACCCGCTAACACTGGAAGGGCAAACGCGGCCAAACAGCACTGCCCAGGTCAGTTTACCGCGGTTCACGCTATCAATGACCGTGCTAAGTGCTAACTGCTGGATGCTGCCAGTGCCAATGCTAGCAGTGCCTGGAGACGCAGGGGAAATAGTGTGTGGACTAACGCTACCTAGTTCTCGATGGTGGAGAGCCGAGAGCGCCGTCGTGATGTCCCGCCAAGCAGCACACACCACCACCACCGTCACCACCGTCAGTCTGTCACCTCATCCCCCCTCGGGGTCTCAGGAAGTGAAAACCACTAGAGAAACCCCCTCCCCCCCCCACTAAAAAAGAAAAAGAAAAAGAAAAAGAAAAAGATATTCGGCTGCCTTTTACGGTGGAGTCGCCTGAATTCCATCTCCATCAGGACGACCTCGAATCGATCTGGGGAGGCAAAAGGGGGCGCAAAGCCATCTCATCGTCGGGGTGGATCTCTGCCACTGATCTTCCCGAGGCCCCTCCTCCCCTCGATAGTTCTTGCCCGCCCGGATTGCACCTCTCGGTCCGGTCCAATTCAGATCCCAGAGGGTTACAGACACCCCCGGAGAAGGTAAACCTTGGAATGAAATCCAGCTGTAGCATGAGGGCTTTTCAACCCAACGCTCATGGGCGCTCTCTCGGGTGTGTCCAGTTTTTCGCCATCGACCCCCGATAAGGTTGCACCCTACGGAGTACGGAGCACGGTTTTCTGATACATCACCTCGGGGGCCTGGCTGATGCATTGTTTGCTGCAAACCACCTTAGACGGTGTAGTGCCTCGGGGAGTCACCAGGGCGAAGCCCTCCCGCTACGATCCCTAATTAATCACCGATCACCGACAAGCGACTGATCACATTGCCACCCTCGTGCAAGGAACAAACTCCACGGGTGAGCACTGACCCTTAGGCTGCTGGCTTGTTTATCGCCAGGTCCTTCTGCAAGTGTCTAATTTGGGAGTCTTCAGGACGTGCGATAGGAGATAGCCGAGTTCGGGGAAGAAGGAAAGAAACGCCTACTGCACTTCGTCAGCTCCCCGTCATGCGTGGGTAGGTCGGTCTAGTAGTTTCGTACAGACGGGCAAGCAGGCAGCATGCCTTCGGACGGATGATTTTCACACTTCCGTCACCGTGGCTGGCTAGAGTGGAGGTCAAGGAGGCGCGGATGCACCACTCAACTTACAAGGCTCTGGATCCAGAGAAATTACAAAAAGGAACTATGAAAAGCTGACGGGTGAAATGTGCCCTTGCGCCCATTGTCGCAGAAGTGTACCTGCATCTGCAGTGATTAGCCCACCGGAATGAC